TCATCATCACTACTGATGGGAGAAGTGTCTAAGAATTTCCCTGTCCAGTACCCTGTACTCCAAAGACTGGGTAATCCCATCTCTCTTGTATCCAGTTTCACAGTCTTCAGTCTGGGTCCTGGAGACTCTCCTTGTGTAAGGTCATATCCCTGCACGGGCATAGTATTATCATCCACTCTAGGGTTATCTATACCAACATTGTCGGTCTTCCGAATGGTCTCTGATTCCATGTCTTTCATGTCCTCAACAACTGGAGGAGGTGGAAGATCCTGTTCCTGCTCCATTTTCTACTATTGTATCACTAAATCAACACGATCCCACCGCTGCCACCAGTGTAACGGCTAGCCTAATTTGGGTAGTGTGGGTGTTTTTGTTTTAGACTAGGTCACTTTGGGGATACGTTGTACACATTAAATGCACGTGTGAAAATAAAGAGACACAATAGTTAATGAAAGCTTAACAACATATATTCTGGCTTCATCCGCCTCAAAATAATACAACACAAATCGATAATAAGTTTCAGTTTCAGAGGTGCTAATTATAAGTCCTTCATGTAATAATACTTGTATATTTATATATATATATATAAAAGTGTTCATCACTAATGTAGTTTTTCATCAGATGAGCGATGCATATTCTGAGTCCTTCAAGGTGATGAATATTCTAAGTCCACCAAGTTGACGATATAATAAGTTCATGAAATGAGCTGTGAATATTCTAAGTCTATCAGACTGAAGATGTATGGAATCTGCTAAGTACTTCAGATTATCGATGAATATTCTAAGTCCACCAAGTTGAAGATATAATCTAAGTTCATCAAATGAGCTGTGAATATTCTAAGTCTATCAGACTGAAGATGTATGGAATCTGCTAAGTACTTCAGATTATCGGTGAATATTCTAAGTCCACCAAGTTGACGATATAAACTAAGTTCACCAAATGGGCTGTGAATATTCTAAGTCTATCAGAGTGAAGATGTATGAAATCTGCTAAGTTCTTCAGATTATCGATAAATATTCTAAGTCCATCAAGTTGACGATATAATCTAAGTTCATCAATGAGCTGTGAATATTCTAAGTCTATCAGACTGAAGATGTATGGAATCTGCTAAGTTCTTCAGATTAACGATGAATATTCTAAGTCCACCAAGTTGACGATATAAACTTAGTTCACCAAATGGGCTGTGAATATTTCAAGTCTATCAAACTTCAGGCAACTTTGGTGAATATTGGATAAGTCCCTCAATATATGAGTAAATGTTCCTTAAGTTCCTCTGGGCATCAAACTCCAGGCCACTAGGGTGAATATTGGCTAAGTCCCTCAATATATGCGTGAATGTTCCTAAGTTCCTCTGGGCATCAAACTCCAGGCAACTATGGTGAATATTTGCTAAGTCCCTCAATATATACGTGAATATTCCTCAAGTTTCTCTGGGCATCAACTCCAGGTAGCTTTGGGGAATATTGGCTAAGTCCCTCAATATATACGTGAATATTCCTAAGTTCCTCTGGGCATCAAACTCCAGGCAACTATGGTGAATATTGGCTAAGTCCCTCAATATATACGTGAATATTCCTAAGTTCCTCTGGGCATATTGGCTAAGTCCCTCAATATATACGTGAATATTCCTAAGTTCCTCTGGGCATCAAACTTCAGACAACTTTGGGGAATATTGGCTAAGTCCCTCAAGGTAATATCTTCTAAGTGTATCGACCGAAGAATTCTCTAAGTCCATCAAATTGTATGCAGAATTCATCTAAGTCCCTCAAGGTAATAAAATTCTCTAAGTCCATCAAATGGTATGCAGAATTTGTCTAAGTCCACCAGGCATCAATCTCTTGAGGCGCGTGGAGGTTCCTTCTCATCAAAAGTTGTGTACGTGCCTCCCAGTATATGTAGAATCTGCCTAAGATCCTCTAAGTATATCCTCAAAGTCCCTCAACGGGTATGTCGAATCTGCCTAAGATCCTCTAAGTATATCCTCAAAGTCCCTCAACGGGTATGTCAAATCTGCCTAAGATCCTCTAAGTATATCCTCAAAGTCCCTCAACGGTTATGTCGAATCTGCCTAAGATCCTCTAAGTATATCCTCAAAGTCCCTCAACGGGTATGTCGAATCTGCCTAAGATCCTCTAAGTATACCAGGGTAAAATCCTCTAAGTCCCTCAACGGGTATGTCGAATCTGCCTAAGATCCTCTAAGTATATCCTCAAAGTCCCTCAACGGGTATGTCGAATCTGCCTAAGATCCTCTAAGTATACCAGGGTAAAATCCTCTAAGTCCCTCAACTAGTATGTCGAATCTGCCTAAGATCCTCTAAGTATACCAGGATAAAATCATCTAAGTCCCTCAATATGTGGGATGAAAATCTTCTAAGTCCATCAATATATGTGTAGAATTAGCCTAAGTCCATCAAGCGTCAATCCCTGGAGGCACACAGGTCTGTCCTCTCTCAGTTCCAGCTAGAAAGTGCCTCTCAGTATATGTAGAATACCTCAACAGGTATATGTCGAATCTGCCTAAGATCCTCTAAGTATACCAGGGTAAAATCCTCTAAGTCCCTCAATATGTGAGATGAAATCTTCTAAGTCCATCAGATATATGCTTAGAATTAGCCTAAGTCCATCAAGCGTCAATCCCTGGAGGCACGCGGGTCTGTCCTCTCTCAGTTCCAACTAGAAAAGTGCCTCTCAGTATATGTAGAATACCTCAACAGGTATATGTCGAATCTGCCTAAGATCCTCTAAGTATACCAGGGTAAAATCCTCTAAGTCCCTCAATATGTGAGATGAAATCTTCTAAGTCCATCAGATATATGCTTAGAATTAGCCTAAGTCCATCAAGCGTCAATCCCTGGAGGCACGCGGGTCTGTCCTCTCTCAGTTCCAACTAGAAAAGTGCCTAAGTCCATCAAGCGTCAATCCCTGGAGGCACGCGGGTCTGTCCTCTCTCAGTTCCAACTAGAAAAGTGCCTCTCAGTATATGTAGAATACCTCAACAGGTATATGTCGAATCTGCCTAAGATCCTCTAAGTATACCAGGGTAAAATCCTCTAAGTCCCTCAATATGTGAGATGAAATCTTCTAAGTCCATCAGATATATGCTTAGAATTAGCCTAAGTCCATCAAGCGTCAATCCCTGGAGGCACGCGGGTCTGTCCTCTCTCAGTTCCAACTAGAAAAGTGCCTGCTGAGTCACCTGGTCGTCTCTATTTATACCCCAGACATGTATGTAACATGTACTAGGTTTTGCACACGAACCTAACAAGTGATTAATGGGCTGATGCAATACCTAGGCCCCTGGACAGGACAAGACTGGTGTACAATTACTATGACGCAATCAGGATATGAATAGTGCAAAATAACTGGCTTCATTTAGAACTCACAATCTGTGCTATCTAATGTACCATTAATGCATGTTTGGTATATAATTAACTAGATAAATGTATAAACTAAATAAATATAACAAACCAATCTTCATTGGTTTTAATCATGCCGAAATTGACCGAAAAAACTAATAATTGAATGTAGGTCAAGATAGCTCTTCAAAAGTAAGATGAGAAAAATGTAAACAAATGAAAGCAAAATGAAATCTCACAAAATCGAACAGTTTACATGATTCTGCCTACTCCTTTAGTGTCACATACATTCATGTAAGTATACTACTTGTCAAACAAACTGTAAAACACTTTCCAAATGTGTTAACTGTAAGAAAACTGATAAAATGGCACAGGACTACAAAGAGCAGAAAATTTGAAAAGTAAAAATTTGTTACACTAGTTTGATGACCTTTGACCTTGAAAATTTTCCTTATTTAGAGCTCAGTAAGGTCTTTTGTGATTAAGCTGACCAAAATTTACATCCAAAAATCAATTTGAAAAATCAACTTTTTTTACCTTCGAAGGTGACTGAAGGTCAAGTAAAGGTGAAATCATAAAACTAATGTCAGATTTGAACTCCTGGCAACTTGTAGATGATTTTCCAAAAAATATTTGGTCAAATTGAAGCAAGTTGAAAAATAACTTATTTTTACTGTTTTTTGACGTCAAATATCTCAAAAACGGTAAAAATTTGATGCTGACATACATTGAGAAATATGTAGGGAATGCTTAAATCTATTAATGATGTAATTTATTGCAGGAAATGATCAAGTATAAGGCAAACTTTAAGAATCTTGTCAATCACAAAACCTGCCATTGACTTTATACATGAGAAAGTTTTCAAATTTTATAGAGTAAATACCAAAAACCGTAATTCCAAGAGCTTTGAAATCTTCAGAGGACATAAGTTGCATATACACCAACTACTACAAGTTATTTGAAATTTCTACTTCAACAAAGTGTCTAGTATTTACAGAAAATTTGACTTTTTGACGTCAAAATCCGCAATTTCTCGGAAACCGGGCGAACTTTGGAAATGGCGATGACAGGTCAAATAGGCATTATGGATATGCATAAAATGAATGTGGATATGACTCAATCCGAATAGCAGTTTTAATTTGTGCGGCCAATGTTGACGGACGGACCAACGGACGGACGGACGGACGGACAGACGGACCAACGGATGGACGGACGGACGGACCAACGGACGGACGGACGCCTGGTCAATCCCATAGGCTCACTGTGTGAGCCAAAAACTAAATCATGAAAAAGAAGAAGAAAAGAGCTTTAAAATGCTTTTTATTTGAAGCTTCTAGCTCAATTTTAAAGGTAGTTGCATAATTTTTGTAAAATACAAAATATATATTTCTTAATTTTTTTGGGCTTGTTTATGCCACAATCGCACCCCCCCCCCCGACTGAAAACCGAAATTTTTGGCAATCACACCCCCCTGACTGAAAGATGGATACGACACTGCAGGTACATTCAATATGGTTATTCCCAGTTTTATACATGCAGATGTTGGAGTAAATGACTGAATCAAGTAAGATTTGACTACATATATTTCACTCTTTTCGATCCCGTTATGAATACATTCATAATTGAATAAGTTTATACTTACAGGGCCTAATCTATTACAGGATAGGTCTACCTCCTTTAAAGTGGAGTTCTGGATGACAACCTGTGCCATCAATGCAGCAGTAGGCTCCGTCAGGTCGTTACTACCAAGATTCAACTCATTTAATGTTGTATTCTTCAACAAGGCTCTACAAATTGGCTGCCCACCCTCATCTCCTAGTCGATTCAGTCGGATGTTAAGTGAATGTAATGTGGTGTTTTTGGTTAAGGCATGGGCAATAGCTTGAGCCCCTGCAGACCGTATCTGGTTATCGCAGAGATTCAGAGACACAAGTTGGCTGTGGCCATTTAGGAGTTTTCCAACAGCTCTCGCACCTCTGTCATCAATTTTATTATGGGATAGATCTAGTTCAGTAAGTGATGGGTGATCAAGTAGATGGCTGATTAAAACACGGACCTTATCATCATCTAGTTTACTCCTGTGTAATTGAAATGTTCTGAGATTTTTACAAGTCGCAACAGTTTTGGCTAACAATAAGCAATCTCTCTGCGTAAACTGAAATAAATTCCATTCAAAATTCATTCCACAGTCTTTGACTCCATATGTAAGTCTGAACTCTTCAAGATTTGGTAATTTTGGGAGGACCTGGGCAAAATCAAAATGATCAGTTTCTGGACCATCGCCAGCATCACTGCCTGTGTCAGACATATCATCAATGGCATCAAGACCTTTAGGGGCTTCCTTTACTGGAGGCAAGAGCTGCTTAATATCAAGTGTTTTAATATAGTTGGCAGACAATGGTAGAGTCTCATTTAACTCTGTAGCGTCGGAATTCTCAGGGACGAAATGTTCAATTATATGTTGTAGATTACGTTCAAAATACATCCTTTTCCAGCTTCCTCCATATTTGGAGACATCGCAGATTTGCCAGCGAGCTTTGCAGCATCTCTTCCAGTAGCCTTCATCTTGGATGAGATTTGCCGTAACTTTGAGTGGCAAATCTGTAGAGATCCTTTCCAAAACTTTTAATTTGTGCTTCGAAAGAAGATCTTTGAGAATATCTGAGTTATCTGAAAATAAAATTAATATATAAGTATTATTGAATTCCAAATTCACAGTATGCAGAAATCTAACTGATGTAATACTGATAGAAAATATTACAAGTAAATATTACATGTATATGTACTGCTCACTTCTCATATGCAAGTACAATTTTTACTCCCAAATAATTGCTACATGTTAATTTTGTCATTACAATGATTGTGATTTTGAGCAAAAATAAAAAAATAAGATTTGCAATCGAGTATTCAGAATTACATGTACTGTACTTACTTTCAAAATTATTAACGATAAACTGTATACATATTTCCCAAAGTAGAGGAACTGTCATGAGGGACCAATCAGGATCCTCGGCAATGATGCGTCTCATGTTTCTCATATCTGCAGCAGGATTGTCTTTCATATCATTGGATGGGGGTGGAATGTTTTCCTTTTTCTCATCTCCTGCACCCTTTTTGCTGCTTTTAGCAGACCCTGCACGGGATCCAGCCTTGGATGTTGGTTTTGAACTTGAACCATCCTTTGTACTTTTGATACTTGTGTTGCTCTTGTCTTTTTCTGTCAATGGAGGATCCATATTGGAGCTGAAATTGACATTAGGCGATAAATAACATGATAGTATTAGGCTACTGACAACATAAAGGTTATTAATAGCATGTTCACACAATGTTTCCTAGGAATTTTTGTTTTCATTTTTTTTGATTTCTGGAAAGAATCAGTTTGTGGTGTGAACAATCTCATTGGGGAGAAGTACTTAACATTTTCATTTCATTCTGAAAAAGCTACCTTATGTTGCGAATTCCATTAGAAAAGCCAAATATTGCACAATGGGACAGTTTTGGGTAACCATACTGACCACCCCATCTCTAGGGCAAAGGGGTGTAACGTTGATGTGTGGGGTAATGGGTAACGGAGTAATGTCGACATAAGAGATGGGGTAGAATTTCCATTTTCCATCATGTTTGATTTCTGGAAAAATTAAAATCTCTCGAGATCTCGATCCATGCGAAAAAAAAAATGGCTTCCCCATAAATCGTAAATTAGAGCAAATAAACAACAAGGTGTCGAAGTTACCCCACAAATCGAAGTTACCACAAAATGGCGTCGAAGTTACACCCCTTTACCCAAGTCCACCTCCATGCATAAGTGGATGTCTTACTAGGGCAAAGGGGTGTAACGTCGACTTAAGAGACGGCCCGGGGGGTTCACTGTATATAAAACTCGACAGGGGTCCTAGGCTGAAGCCTCAAATATCAATATGTTCCCATACCAATCTGTCAAATTTCAATATGTTCCCATACCAACCAAAATAACGCCCAAAAGGCCATACCAAATGTCCAAATATAGGACCAATGCCATACCAAATGCCCAATTATGGGACCAATGCCATACCAAATGTCAAAATGAAGGACCAATGCCATACCAAATGTCCAAATATGGGACCAATGCCATACCTTAATTCAAAGTAAATGAAATATAGGATCAATGTCATACAAATTTGCAACTACTGGACCAATGCCATACCACAAATGTTAGGTAACGTATCTACAACAACCATTCTCATATCAGAAGAGCAAAAGTCCGACCAATGCCATACCTCAGAAGTCAGAAATTTCCGGGCATTCCCATACCAAATCCTAAAATATGGGTCCATTGCCATACCAAACGTTGAAAAAGGTACCCCACATACGCCGAGGATCCCCGTCAAGGTTTATATATAGTGAACTCCCCGGGAGAGACAGGGTAACTTTGACACTTATTAGATCTAGAAGTAGAATTTCTGTTTTCCACCATGTTTGATTTCTAGAAAAATTAAAATCTCACAAGAGCTTGATCCTTGCGAGAAAAAAACATGGCTTCCCCCTAGATCAGAAATAAGAGCAAATAAACAACAAGGTGTTGAAGTTACCCCACATGTCGAAGTTACCCCAAAATGGTGTCGACGTTACACCCCTTTGCCCAAAGGCAAATAACACGAAGTTCTACTTTTTAATAAGAAAGCATGAAAGCTTACACGTCGACATTACCCCACTTCGCCCTACCTCAGATCTAGACTTAGACCTACAGTAGACAAAATATCAAAGAAAATTCTTAAAATTTTTTTGAAAATCAAAAAAATGAAACTTCTTTTTTACAAATACTTGTACTTCTAGACAAATCAATGATCTAATTTTATCCTCAGCTATTGCCCTGTATCTTTAATGTGTTAACGTAGTTTATTTCAATAAGTTACCTCTGTTGATTGAGCGATATTATCAAATTTATGTGATAATTTCCAAGATTTTGAAACCACCTTGTTTTCGTTGCTATGACATCAGAATTACAGCAAATTGCAAACTGCAAAGTCAACGAATGCAAAAGTAAAAAATATTCACTACTTAGATCTTGAGTGAAGTATTTGATGTAATTAATTTTTATAAAAGGATTTCGAATATTTTATTATCTCGTGATGTTGTTGTTCATCTAAATACCTAAACTTTGAAAATCATTAATACGAAACAAATAAAGACAAGAGTTTGACATTTTGATCATCTACTATTATCATCCGGGCACTTGCCAGATTTTTCTCCGCAAAATCACGTTCATCAAACTTTAAAGGTTTGTGCTGGTTTGGGGATAGTTAGTAACGCCTTCATTCAATTAACTATTTCATGATTATATTTTTAGAGTTTATTTCTATATACTTTTATTGAAAATGTGTCGTGTAGTGATTTATATGAATATTCACTCCATTATCGCCCATCATGATCACTTATTCACTGTGTAACCGTCCTAACTCGTCTGGCCCAGTTATCTACTCCCTGATTCTGAAATGTCAGGAGTAGATAACTGGTTCAGACGGGTTTGGTTATTTATTCACTTACCAAATTAAAACATTTGAGCAAAAAATTATCTTGAGCATTTTCATACTTGTAAATTGGTTTATTTATTTGATTCTCAATTATATACCCTTTGTGGCTTGCCTTCCATTTCCCCTGGTATTGCAATAAGTTATTCTATGGTGTTGAGATTTCCATGATTCCTATGTGTATTTGTCAGTGCTATTGCGAAAACTGTATCAATGCAAAAATGACCTCATGGCCACTGTAGACGTGTTGATGATTGCTTGACCATACTCTGGCAGTGCGAGTCTTCAATGTATTTACTCTGAAACAATGCAGGGGAGTTTGACAAGTGACTTCAGGCTCATTGACCAATCAAAAAGCATCTCAAAATGTAATCTGACTTACATGTGGCTTGCCTTCCATTTTCGCTGATATTACGATAAGTTATTCTATGGTTTCGAGATTTCCATAATTCCTATGTGTATTTGTCAGTGCTATTGAGAAACTGTATCTATCAAAAAGGATCTCAAAACATAATCAGATTTACCAATTTGCAAACTATGTCTCAAAAATTGTCTATGATTTGATAGAGTATTTCACCTGAGTAACAATATATTATGCAATAAATGTGCATAGGAATTTGAGGTGTCACAGGTCAGATATTCTTCGGGTTGGGCCACAAAAAAGTGTGTGGGTCGGGTAATTTCGGGTTGGGTCAGAAATAAACAGAAAATGAATTAAATACTAGCAACTGAAACGACTGGGTGAATACACGGCACAGTATGAGACTGTTTAAGCCTGCATTACTGAATATTATGCTTTGATAAAATTTGATAAAGGAGAAATTATAGTTCTAACTAATGGCATAAAAATCTTTGAAAGAGAACTGTAAATGATTTTCTGTTCTTAATTTATACATATACAAGAAATAGACCAGCTGGAAGTTTGAAATTTTTGCCGGGAATATTAAGGCTATTATTTGAGTCAGTGATCGTTCGAATACATTTCTTTTGAATCATGTAAATCAGATTAAAGTGTTTTCTTTTTAACATGATGGCCAAGTTATAATACAATAATTGATTTGTTATAAAACAAAGGCTTAATAAGCTTCAGCTTAGATTCTCTGTCAGAACACATATTGGCTCTGAAAAGATAAGTACAATAATAAGGTTGCTTGACTTATGCTCTTTATGTCTACTTATGTCAAAATGCAGAATGAATGTCCCCCGTCCCTCTAAGGATGACACAGAAGATGATCTGTTAAGATACCAAGAGGAATTCCTTCGTTCTAAGACAAAGCCATCTGCTACTGTAGTAAAGAAGCCAGACAAGCGCAAACAAGATGAAGCAGCTTCAGAACAAGGACATAAAGATGTTGTTAAACTTGAAGGTATATTTCAATTTCAACATGATTTCCAGTATGAATCAGAAAACTCACTAATGGGCAACTCACTAATGGAATGGGTCAGTATGGGGGTGGAATGGGGGTGACTAGTCTGAACACATTGTCTGTGATTTAATGCACTCAAGTCTTGTTTACCAACCTCTTTCAAGGTCTAAAACACGACCTTTAAGCTTGAAATCACCCGCAGTTAATTGAGTCCTTGGCTTAAATCCTTTGGTTATACTAAGTTTATATCATTGCATTAATTTTTTGTCAATTCTTTAGAAGATGGTGTATTTTGCAGGTTTTCCAGATGCCCTTCCTTCACCTTCTGTTCCAGTAAAGAAATCAAAGTTCCAACAGGAAACTAGCAACAAGAAACAGGTATTCCAGCAAGATGATCCCACTTTGGACCCTGAAGAATATCTAGAGAGTAAGCTCAGTGTATATTATAAATATCTCAAAAACAGAAAATGGGGATAATCATTTGAACTCGAGGAATCTGAATGATTTGAGACTTTTAGATACTCAGAAATGACCCCGTTAAAGACGATGTTAAAGATTCTAAAACCAAGCACATTGTTGTTCATGAGTAAACAAAGTTTAAGTGTAACTTTATCCTGTTATCTTGTATTGTTTATATATTGCAGAACATGATTCCCACATCACTTCAATCCTGAAGAATATTGTTGAGAAGAACACACTGAATGCAATGGAATGTTTGCCTCCTGTTGCTGGGCAACCATTTCCCACAGTCCTTCACAGGGGTCCCGATTTAATGGTAAATAGTTCAGATTGTTCCAGTCGACTGAAAATTGAGTTCACAACAAATGTCTAGATTCGATAGATCATGAGGTTAAAAATATGAGTGATAAAGTAATAAATGCTTTGTGGTGGGATTCGCTACTCCGGAAGTTGCAGTTTTTCTTGTTCACTTAAACCTGAACATGTAAAATGTACATTACCAGGTGTACAATATACATTGTATGTTAAATTATAAAGAATTGGATTATCTATGTTCAAATATATAAAACTCTACATTTCGTAAAATATCCTAAATATTTTCAATTTCTTGCAGCCCAGTGGTCCATATTGTATATTGAATTCTGTTCATTTTACAGGGTAACACAAATGTTAAGGAACCCAAAAAGAAAAGTTTGTTTGCCCAACAGTTTGCCAAATCTACACCAGCAATGTTTGGAGTCAAACCTCGAAAGAAGATGCCTGAAACAAAAATGGCTGAAAAAGATGTTGTTTCGATGCCAATGTCTTCATTTTCATCAGGTATGTGATGTTATATTACCTTCTCTACAATATAGGGGTGACATGCATAGGTTAAATATAATTTAGGATTTGACAGGATTTATCATTTTATTGAGATTATTTTGTCTCTGATTGACCAATAACACGGGACTAAAGCAGACCTGATGATGCAATGAGATTGCTCGGCTGTATCATGACTGTGTAACGGGGCTTAATGTATAAGTGAGCTTGGCGGTAGGTTCAAACAACGCGGATCTTCAAAGCATGTGCTCGTGGTATCATCGTGGCTTAACACCCGTGAATAATCAAAATACAATTATATCCTGTCTTATTTATCTATTCCCTTTAAATGATATAAAGCACAAATCAAATCATTAAAGGAATTTTAAGGGAATTGTAAAATGTAAAAGGAATACTGTATTTTCAAGAATTATACCAATATTTTCCTTACAATTCAATTTTTATGTTTAAATTCATTAGAATGGAAAGGCGATGTTGTAAATAATCTTGAAATCCAAAGGATTTATGAAACGTAATGAAGATAAAGCTGTGAGTTCTTTGAAAATAGACATGATATGAAATAATGAGATGAAAAGAATTCTAAAATTGTAACAATATTTTTTTGAATCTTACTCTCATCTTGTCCCCATACTATACCCCTTCAAGCTCCTTTAATCTGCATATTTTCCCCAAAAATCTAATATCTGTTTAGCTTCCATTCGTTTCATTTTATATGCAGTCTTTTACAGTCATTAATAGAAGATGTGAAGACAACAAATTAAATTATTAACGTTTTAAAAAATAAATAAATTATAGTAATCTCAGTACCATAACAAATCTGTTTTATTGTATACTAGGAGAAGGAAGTTCAGTCATAATTAGTGGAGTGGGCTTGGGAGATAGTATGGCTACCACTGAAGCTAAAAGAATACATGAAGAAAATGTTGCCAAAATTGCTGGAATGTCTGAAGAAGAAATCAAAACAGAAAGGGCAAAATTGGAGGAAATGTTAGGTAAGTTATATTAAACCTGCACTTTTAGCTAGAAAACAATCGTCGGTTGTTCCATGGGCCGGGTCCTTAGGGATATTTGTTGCTATAATGAGAGAATATACAAAGTGTTAAATCAATAATCGAATATTAAATGTCGGTTGGTGTAAAGGGGAATGCTCACCTCAAACGCGGATGACCGTGGTGTAAATCCCAATTAGCCCTTTTTGGCTCATTTCTTTTTTTAAATGCTTGTGCTGTATGTCGGTGCATTCATCCGTTCATTTGTCCGGACAATAACTCAAATACTGGTTGACAGATTTGGTTCAAATTTTTTATAGGCTTATGCCTATGTGTAGGACCTCTGCTCGAGAAGGAATTTTCAATATGGCCACTTTATTCAAAATGGCCACCATTTTTATGAAAAATGTAATCTTTGATAATTCAAAGAGCTGCAGAGATCATTGTGTGTTTTGGTTTAAATCTCTCCATTCTGCCATTACATATACATATAAATGTAATAGTGCAATAACATACTTGCAACTTATTAACTCTCTGAAAGATGGCAGCCTCACAATCAATTTATCTCTGTCTAAAAACAGACTATGAAATCTGAGCTAAGTCTTATGTCCAATAACTAAATTAATATCGTCTATAAAGGTGGAAAAAATTGTCTGCAATCACACGATATACAGAGATTATCGATCCTTCTCCTAATTGACATTCTTCAGAAAATTATTCGGTTGAATTGCCAAAAGTGTGTTCATTCGTATGTATTTATTGATATAATTCACCCCTCGGTTAATACAAATTTTATTATTTTTGTCTCAATATTCAGTAAATGGATAAAGTGGTTGATTGATTCTGCTGTACAGTCAATGGTTTGCTAAAGCAGAAAAACTAATGAAAATAGTTAATAAGAGAGTATAGACCACAGGTGTTATTAAACTGATTAGGATTAAACCCCATTATAAAGGTCTTCTTTTTATAATTGCTGCCCAAATGGCATAAAAATTGACAGTCGTGCAAGATAGTCAAATAAATCTGAACTAGAAATTCATTGACATTTTCCCTCAGAGCCAAAAAGCAATTTAGAATTTGTCTATGTGTGTCTAGAGATCAATTGAAAAATAGATCATTATCTTTGAATGATGTGTAATAATTGCCATGGTTTTCTGTCCCAAAACTTAGTAAAATGAAAGATTTTCTGAAAAAAATATTTGGTAGGAATCATTAAATTTGTGCCCAGTGTAAAAAATTTGAACTATGTCGGGTTCTTAATGAAATTAATGTATTATGTAGTACCAGTGTGTTACAGTTTGTGCACAGGGCGTTTGATTTATTGAGTCTATTAATCAATTGAAAAATGAATCAAGCGATTGGAAAATGGTTAATATTCTACAAGTTATTGATTGGGCTGCTCATTGTGAACAATTTTCATTTTTGCATAACTGGCACATCTGGCGCAATATTTGCAATTTATTCTGAACAAAATGAAATTAATATTGAAAAGGTGCTCATCAGAATACTCACAGTACTATGATGCTGGAGATTTTGTCAGGAAATCAGGTGATATCCTTTGATATAAAGGGATACCATTTTTATCTACAAGTAGATATCAGTATCTGGAAAAGAGTGATCACTGTAAATGATATTTATCTCATGTATAGTTAGTCTGCAAATCTAATATAGCAAAACATAACACTGTCATAAGTAGTCATAGATGCAGGAAACAATAATCAAGAATAATATTATTATCTGTGTACTTCAGATATTCCATTTCCATGCATTAAAAACATCATCATCAAAATGAATTGAATATTACCTAGATTGGACATATTGTATTGGATATATTCTGACACGTGAACAAATGAAACGCTAACAAAAAAACATAATGAGATTTTTGTATGTAAAAATGGAATCTCTCATTATATTGGCCAGTGGCACTTTAAAAGCAATTGATCTATATTTCCTCTTGGCTGATTGTGACTTTAAACTCACAGTACATTGCCTCTGACTGCTGTACTTCAACAATTATAACAAACCCAATAAAACTTGTTTTTCAGAGTTGATCCTATTATCACGCTCAGCTATCTAAATTCATTACGTGATTCAATTTATAAAGATATGGCATTAATATCTTAGCAATGCTCTCATCCCAGAGGAAATACCAGTTGTGAAACAAGTTACCATTAGACACTTCTCTATTGGGATGGAAAATACAGTTTTAAATCTATAATTTCATTTCCTTTTTGGTTTTCCTCGTTTTTCATCAAAATTATTCCATTGAGTCTGTGACATTTTCATTTTCAATAGGAAGGATATTCGACTGCAGAGATATTTTTGTAATTTACTGTAAGGCTAACTGAGTAATGCCGTTGGTCCAAAGTCTCATTTATAAAGGCTATTCATATGGAATTGAAGCTGATAAATTGAGCAATTGTTCAGTATGTACTTTGGAATATGGCTGATATTGCAATAAGCACACCAGAAGATGTAATGTTTCTCAATTCTCATGGACAAGTAAGACACATCCTGAATGTCAGTTCAATGTAGGATGGTTCTTTGAATTGATTGATTTTGAATCCGAAGTCTGACATATTTGGCATTTTTAGTGATCGACTTGAATAAAATGGATGAAAAGATTGCCTTATTCCTAATCCAGATATCCTTCCCCTCAATCTATATATCTCAAAATGACTTATATGACATGTCTATTGTAAGCCCTATGGTTTCTATGACATGTGTCTATAATAATGTTATGACTTCTGTAACATAATATGCCCCATGACTCCATGACCCCATGATCTATTATGAGCACCTATGACATTTCTAATGTTAGCCCCATGACTTTCATAACATGTATATTATGAGCCCTATGACTTCTATGACATTATGAGCCCTATGACTTCTATGACACATCTATTTTTAGCCTTATAACTTCTATGACACATCTATTTTTAGCCTTATAACTTCTATGACACATCTATTGTGTGCCCTATGACTTCTATGACACATCTATTGTGTGCCCTATGACTTCTATGACACATCTATTGTGAGGCTCATGATTTCTGTGACACATCTATTTTTAGCCTAATGTCTTCTATGACACATCTATTGTGTGCCCTATGACTTCTATGATACATCTATTGTGTGCCCTATGACTTCTATGACACATCTATTATGTGCCCTATGACTTCTATGACACATCTATTGTGAGGCCCATGATTTCTATGACACATCTATTTTTAGCCTTATGACTTCTTTGACACATCTATTGTGAGCCCAATGACTTCTATGACACATCTATTGTGTGCCCTATGACTTCTATGATACATCTATTGTGTGCCCTATGACTTCTATGACACAATATCTTTAGCCCAATGACTTCTATGACACCCATATTGTGAATCTGAGCCCTAAGTCTTCTATTGTGAGGTGTATGACTTTTATGACATCCCTATTGGGAGCCCTATGACTTCTATGACATGTTTATTGCGAGCCCTATGACTTCTATGACATGTTTATTGCAAGCCCTATGACTTCTATGACATGTTTATTGCGAGCCCTATGACTTCTATGACATGTTTATTGCAAGCCCTATGACTTCTATGACATGTTTATTGCGAGCCCTATGACTTCTATGACACTTTCCATTATGTCTTAAGATAGAGCCTTGTGAATAAATGATTTTTTCTGTAATTGATGAACAGCCCAGGGGAAATTATTTAAATGCCATAATCGATGATCTTATTGTAATTTGCCAGTTCAGGAAAATCCCCTATCTTGATACTAATTACCTCAGTTTCTTTGGATATTTGAACAAAGCGCTTTATTTTCTTCATTTTCTTTCAATTTGTATGTTATTTAGTATATTTCTGCCACAAATAGTAATTGTATTGTTTACACTTCTCTGTTCTGTGCCTGTAAGCATGACAACAGTGAAATTATATAAACAGGTCTTAGCCCTCTGAAGATTTGACAACTTTGTCAGTAAGTCATAGATATTGATTGATTTATTTATCATAATGTTGATGCACTGAAGAATGGAACTTATAAATAAATGATGAATTTGTAATTCTTTAACATTTTGTAATGTATTAATTAATGTTCATTTATGAACAGTTATGAACTTATGATAGTTTAGATCAACTTAAATAACTTAGAATTCTTACAAATTGCTCAATGATTGGTTATACAAGAGCCAAGAGGCCACACCTGAAAACAATAAGAAATACAACAAGCCACAAACCTTTGACACATCAACTAATCCACTAAATAAAACATTTACTTGAAATTAAGAAACCACAATAATACAATTAAAAAAACGTATTACCATCAACCCAAAAAATAATCCATTTGAAAGCCAAAAAGCCCATCAATCCAAAGACATGTCAGTGAAAGTGCACCAACCAAAAAGATTCGCAAGTATTTCAGACCAAAGTAATTGTAGTTTGTATATGATGTATTCATTTAGAAAATCTGAATTGGAAAACTGTTATAAATCATGTGTTTATTAACAGGAAGTTACCAGTAGAAATAGTCAATAGTATTATTAGTATTATCTCAAAACCTTATCTTATTTTGTGTATTTCACTCCAGGCAGAAATTGAATCAATATATGTTCAAGAAAATTGTTATTTTCACTGATATATGATGTAATAAATATTATATTGTGACAATCACTTAAACCATTTTTAAAGAATTTTAGAACACCAGGCATCTCCCAATACAATCACACTAGAGTGATAGCATTAGGGACTATTTATTTTCTGTGTAAATAATTTAATAGCTAACCTACCTATAATGCCAACTTCATGGCTACATAACAGCCTGCCAACATTTAATTGCTGAAATCTATCTATTGTATTTACATCATACAAGTTAGAATTTTCAATTTGATATGAGTTGCCCTGTGTTATTTTTTTCAGTTTGAATCACAATAGACCTTTCCAATAAACCCTACCACCTTTTATCAAAGGAATCAGACTAGATTGATGATTGCATGATTGATTGATGATTGCATGATTGATTGATGATATCATAGGTTGACTGTTGTCAACACTACAATAACAGGTAGCAATCTGTACATGCAGAAATAGGATTAAGTTATTGCTAATTGGTTTACTACAACCTATGACATCATCAATCTAGCCAACTTATCTTTGGTGAAGCAAATTATGGAAATGGTCTATTGGAAATGTCTATTCAGAATGGATATTGAAATTGTACATTCTAAAGAATTTTTCCATTCTTATTAATAGTCTCCTAACTTTTTTTGTGGATGGTATTCACAGTCTGGTATTTGGAGTATGACAATCTGTGGTCAGTGTTTGGAGTTCAGCCTCTGTAACAAATGGCAGGTGATGACATTTTGTATGCTAATGGCTTGTTGATTATTGCAATTCTCTATTTTCAGATCCAAAGGTCTTAGCATTTCTGAAATCAAAGAGGCAGAAGAGTGGTGGTGTACAAGGAATTCCTAAACCTCATCAGCCAATCAAGAAAGGTGATGAAGCTGTTCCCATGGAAACAAATAATTTAGGTATTAAACTAGGATCATTTATTACTCATCACCTCATTTCTATATTTTTAGCTCACATGGTGAGCTATTGCAATCGCTCACTTGTCCGTCTGTCTGTCTGTCCGTCCGTCCGTCAACAATAGTGGCACGTTTTAAAACCTCTGTCGATAGGATTCCTGTTTTAAGTTATTTCTGTTCAACATCAATACAGAAAACCCCCCTATGACTCCTGGTTCAAAAGCTCGCCTATTTTCAAAATGGCCGTCACTTTTGTCTCGCGAAATTCACTTTTAGCCCATTTCCTAGCTAACCTCTGTCGATAGGATTCCTGTTTTAAGTTATTTCTGTTCAACATCAATACAGAAAACCCCCCTATGACTCCTGGTTCAAAATCTCGCCTATTTTCAAAATGGCCGTCACTTTTGTCTCGCGAAATTCACTTTTGGCTCATTTCCTAGCTTTACAAATAATTTCAGGTGTCCTACATTGTAAAAATCCATGTCAATGTAAAGATTAGATATATGAAATAATTTTGTTACAAAAAATCAGCGAAAAATTGTATCCATTTTTTTATTTTCAGCCATTTTAGTTAACATTGATTTGTCTATCTGACTCGCGAAATCCACTTTCTGTCAATAACAGTGGCACGTTTTAAAACCTCTGTCGATAGGATTCCTGTTTTAAGTTATTTCTGTTCAACATGAATTCAGAAAACTCCCCTATGACTCCTGGTTCAAAAGCTCGCCTATTTTCAAAATGGCCGCCATTTTTGTCTCGCAAAATTCACTTTTGACCAATTTCCTAGCCTTACAAATAATTTCAAGTGTCCTACATTGTAGAAGTCCATTGCAAAGTAAAGAGTAGATGTATGAAATAATTTTGTTATGAAAAATCAGCGAAAAATTATATCCATTTATTTATTTTCAGCCATTTTAGTTAACATTGATTTGTCCATCTGTCTCGCAAAATTCACTTTTGGACCATTTACCTTTAACCCTCTGTCGATAGGAATCCCATTTTAAGTTATTTTTGTTCAACATCAATACAAAAAACTCTCCTATGACTCTTGGTTCAAAAGCTCGGCTATTTTCAAAATGGCCGTCACTTTTGTCTCGCGAAATTCACTTTTGACCCATTTCCTAGCTTTACAAATAATTTCAGGTGTCCTACATTGTAAAAATCCATGTCAATGTAAAGGGTAGATATATGAAATAATTTTGTTACAAAAAATCAGCGAAAAATTGTATCCATTTTTTTATTTTCAGCCATTTTAGTTAACATTGATTTGTCTATCTGACTCGCGAAATCCACTTTCTGTGGCACGTTTTAAAACCTCTGTCGATAGGATTCCTGTTTCAAGTTATTTCTGTTCAACATCAATTCAGAAAACTAACCTATGACTCCTGGTTTAAAAGCTCGCCTATTTTCAAAATGGCCGCCATTTTTGTCTCGCGAAATTCACTTTTGACCCATTTCCTAGCTTTACAAATAATTTCAAGTGTCCTACATTGTAAAAATCCATGTCAATGTAAAGAGTAGATGTATGAAATAATTTTGTTACGAAAAATCAGCGAAAAATTATATCCATTTATTTATTTTCAGCCATTTTAGTTAACATTGATTTGTCCATCTGTCTCGCAAAATCCACTTTTGGACCATTTACCTTAAACCCTCTGTCGATAGGATTCCCATTTTAAGTTAATTTTGTTCAACATCAATACAAAAAACTCTCCTATGACTCTTGGTTCAAAAGCTCGCCTATTTTCAAAATGGTTGCCATTCTTGTTTCGCAAAATTCACTTTTTGCCCATTTCCTAGCTTTACATATAATTTCAGCTGTCCTGCATTGTAAAAAGCCATGTCACTGTAAAAGGTAGTTGTATGAAATAATTTTGTTACAAATAATCAGCAAAATATTATATCCGTTTTTTTATTTTCAGCCATTTTAGTTAACATTGATTTGTCCATCTGTCTCGGGAAATCCTCTTTTGGACCATTTGCTTAAAACCTCTGTCAATAGGATTCCAGTTTCAAGTTATTTTTGTTCAACATCAATACAAAAAACTCCCCTATGACTCCTGGTTCAAAAGCTTGCCTGATTTCAAAATGGTCGCCATTTTTGTCTCGCGAAATTCAATTTTGGCCCATTTCCTAGCTTTACAAATAATTTTAGGTGTCTTGCATTGCAAAAAGCCATGTCACTGTAAAGAGTAGTTGTATGAAATAATTTTGTTACAAATTATTGGCAAAAAATTATATCCGTTTTTTTTTCAGCCATTTTAATTGACTGAGAGACAGATGGCTTGAAATAATTTTGTAACAAAAAATCAGCAAAAAATGTGACCATGTGAGCCCAGTACCCATGGTACTAATTTTTTATTTCTTTTAATAAATTTAAGTTAATGCAATATTCATATGAAGTTAAAAACCCTTTATTGGGTATTATAATTATCCACATATTTAACTGGAAATTACAAAATAATTTCCTTTTAATTGCCATCCCGACACCCATTACTTCTTTGAACATATACACCTTTTCATTGCTCTAAAGTTGTTCACAACAACAACCAGATCAACTGAATGAAAATCTCAGATTCAGTCAAATTCAGCTTCAACTACCAGCATTAATGAGGCATTTAAAAAACAAATTAATTTGCTACTTAAGTCATGTATTTGACACTGTAAAGGCATTAGTCACATTCTCAATTATGGTCCTCAAAGTACTTCTTTAACTCCCCATTGACTGATCTTATTAAATGCTTCTTATATTCAAGATATTGATCAATATTAGAAAAGATCTCTAGACTCAAGCTTTGACTTCCTGAATATACGAGCCTGGGGAGGTCAGCTAGAAGATATGAGCCAGGCCACAGGAAAAGGGGTCTTATATCACAGATTTTTTTTAATATTCTGTTTTTTTGTTTATCTTAAAAAGCACAAAGAAACCTTTCAAATGAGCCATGGCTTGTGTCTTAACAATTTTTCCTTGCATATATAAACCAATAAGTTGGATTTGAATTTAGCACATTTTCCTCATAATCTTGGGCCATTTTTGGCTCTGTAGCACAATTTCAATTTTTGTGATAAGACCAATTTTCCTATGGCCAGGCTCATATATCAAGGCCTCTAACATTTTCTCAGACTTTAATCACACATTTTATCTATGAATGGTCAAAAGGGAAACTTTTCGTATCCCCTTTGATTGAGCTAGCATTGTTGAACAAAATTCATTTTTAATGTCGCCACCAGGAATTATTGTTATAGCTACCTTTTTTTGACAAGCATTGGATTTTGGAATTCATTGTCTTTGTCTGTAACAAAGGGGTTACACTTATGCCAAATGCCATTTTTAGGCAACAGACTTTTCTGTGACAGCATCATTAAATGGTTATCATTATGACAATTAACAGATGCGAAATAAATGCATGGAAATAAATACAATCATAATGACTGTTCTGTTTATTTTGATTACAATGAATTTTAGAGCCATGCTTTTTAACTCTGATTTAATGCCTTGTTAAAAAGCCATGTTTTTTCATTATTCTAACTCTGGTTTTCCTTTCCTATTATCCAAAAAGGCATGATATTTTAATTTTGAAAAATTTCAGATGAAGACACGCCTCTAATAAAGCCCAAGCCTGGTTGGTTGAACATGGATAAAGTGGAAACCGAAAAACTAGAATGGATGAAGAATGTATCAAACCCAAAGTCTGCAGAATCTCAAAGTGGAGGGGGTCAAGCCAGGTATGTGCTTAAAAATAAACAATTTTGTCAAACCTGTCAATCAAATTGCAAAACATCTTCCTGAACCCAATACCCGTCGACCCAATATCTATCCTGAATAAAGGTATTTTAGGAGTGTCCATTCTCGTTATTGATAAAATATTGGTAACAGAAGAAGAATGAGAAATGCAAGGATATACATGTTCATGATCAGATGATAAAGATGTGTATTTTACAAGACAGTGGTTTAATTTAATCTACAATAATTCTCATGGGCTGAAGATAGATAAGGAGACCACTGGTCAAAGGATCTGTATAATATCTGACATATAATCTTTTTTTAATATTGTTGCCCTTAAATCGTTGATATAACCTGAGTTATGTACATAATTGAGATATAATCAGAAAGAACAAAGAGTTCAATTCACATCTTACAAAAAATATTTATTAAGCTTAAAAATTAAAAATGTCAATAGAAAATGGCAGTGCTTGGCTGTACAGAATGACAGTGAATATTGTACACACTCTTTTAATTTGGCATTAATTGAAGTAAAATCATAAAATCGTAACACCAGCAACAATTCACACATAAGCCACATACATGTACACAAATTTATGTTAAATTTCAACCATTAATATAATGGCCTTGTCAATGTTTTTATACCTTAGTGTCTCATACAGCAGAGTGTTGGAATTAAGTTTGAACATCTAGTCTAATGTTATTGGCATATGAGGATATATTTTATAATACAGTGCAGCGTAAGGGAAGGATGTCTATAGATAAGTCTGTCAGTAACATTACATTAGTAATCTGCCCATTCTCCAGGTTATACAGCACCATGCTTAAACCTTTATCTCTGCGTTACTAAAATCGATCACAACTTGTATCAACCTTTTAAAGGTTTCGTCAAAATATCAATGTTTTTTGTTTAGTTTTCAAAGTAGTTTATCAAAGAGTCTTAAATAGACATTGAAATGTCACGTTATTGATGTAAATGTGTGTCAATGCAGTTTTACTTTAACATGACATCAACTAACTTGATTCTCTTCAACAATTTTTGAACAAAAAACATTGATATTTTAAGGATGGTTATGTTCCCATGATCCTTCATCAGAAAACATTTGTGGAAGATGTCAAAGATATATTTGATTTTACATGATAGTATCAGTCTTTGAATTTTTCAACGTGCAATTTATCCATTTGCACATTTTGTGTTAATCATTGTATAAGAACACTCAAATCATCTGAAAGCTAGATAAATGTAAAACTCAAGGATAACTGTTACATCATCTACCTCTTTGGAATTTTGGGAATTTCCCAAAGATGGACCTTCGTTAGCAAAGAGATATAACCATTTATGGAAAATGGCTTTACAATTCTATTTCTCCCCAAGATAATGTAAAGCTAATTAGCTATACTTTTAGCAACAGTTTATGGTCTCATAATCATTTACTGACATTTTATGGTCTCATATTATCATTTACTGACAGTTTATGGTCTTATAATCTTCCTATCAATGACTGGGATTAATAAGTCTAAACTGAACTTACTTAAACCACTGATAACACCAAAAGTTAAGCTCTTGATGGTCAGCTTCTCAGTTGCAAGTTATTTGTATGATACAGTAATACCTGTCTAATCCAAACGTGTCTCAGACTGGCCAAAAGTGTTCTGATTAGCACACTTGTGTTCACATTTCAAGGTTTCATAAACATGTAAGTCAATGGGAAGTAACAATATTGGGGCTAATCAGAAAGTCTTCACATTCAGCGGTTCAGATTAGATAGGTGTTCTGGTGTAAAGGTTTTACTGTTCTTATAAGGAAGTTCCTTATACATATTGGAGAGCCATTGGATTACAGATCAATGGCACCTCTAGATTAGGTGGCTTATAAAAATGTTAATACCATAAGCTGAGCTGAAATCAATGATAGAACTTGTTAAATGTGGCTAATATCAATAATGTGACAGTTCCATTCTATAGGTGCATTTTTGTATACTTTGACTTTTAGATCAATGGCAGCTTTTTACATGAAATATTTATACATTTTACTGTAGCCATTCCAGGTTTTTATTTGACAGAGTGTTAACTCCTTAATTTCCCTGTTTTAGTCATCATATCCCAAAAGATTATCCTTTTGACATGGTGCAAATAAATTTTTAAAAGGGTGTTATGCAATTATAACTTCTTGGAACAACACCAGATGGCTCTAATGCTTGGGGATCACTGTACAGTAAAACCTGTTTGTATTGAACATTTTTTTGCCAAGAAAAAATGTTCAATGTTGGTAGATGTTCACTACAGGGGTGGAAATTTAGAGTCAGGTGTTCATTATAGAGAGAGAGGTGTTCATTAAAACATGTTTTACTGTAGTATGTACAGGTATAATACACATATGTATTAATTGGTATAAATAATTGGACATTTAAACATACTTAAAGCTGAATTAGTTACGTATTAAATGCATTCAAATTGAATAACTGAAAGGGGAATCTTTCTATTAAAGTCCTCTAGAAAAATCAAATCTATAATTATATTACATGGCCGAGATAAATACTTTGATTTTTTAGATATAAATAATTGTGTGCTTGATGACTGAATCTTTATGTATGGCATCATAATTTGCACTTTTAAATTAAACATCCTATCAGGGGAGGTATCCAAATATTATCAGTTGATATAAAAATATTGATCAGAATAAAGACATTTCTGCTGTACAATCAACACTTGGAATCGTCTCAGTGTTCTCACTCCTCAGGATTTTTTCAATGGGTGCAAAATTCTTATTTTCACAAAATATACCTATTTTTCATGTTTTCCTCAAGTGGATACAAATAGATTCTCAGTTTGGTGCATGCCTTTTAATAAATCTCAAGTGGGTACACGTGCACTTGTTTTGATGGGAATCCAGATCACTGACTCCATCATAAGATTCTTGAGTGGGGAGCTATGATTGCAATGCATATGCCTTGCCAGGTGTATGTTACATTAATATTATCCCAATACCATGTTTATGTTACCTTGGCAATTGATTTATCTTGCAGTGCCAATTATTCTGGCAAGTTATGTAGAATTATCAGATACAATAATAATCCTTTATAGAATATCTCAAGTAATATTAGATTTTTTCAATTAGGAAATCATTCAAACATCTATTGAATTTCTGGAAATACTTTCATGATATAAATAGTCTCTTAGTGTTTTTAACCCATGTGTGTTTGAATGTCACATAGTTTTTCTCACCATGACAACATGCTATGATTGTTTAATATGCACAGAGACTGTTTTATGGTATATAACTGAGACCCGAGAAAATGCGTCTAGAGACTCTGTACCCATCTGAAGTATATTAGCTTGATTTTAATAATGTACTAGGATCTGACTCTCAGCATGGAGATATTGAGGACCTGGTAAATGTTTTTATCATGCCCACTCAGACACAAAGTGCTCATTAGAGTCACCTTAATTTCATTCCTGGGTCATATTGACAAAAACTTGGTTGACAATAATTTTAATTTTTCACATTACTTTTGAATTTTTCTTGGTCTGTGTTTGCTTGAGTTGTTTAATTGAAGTTTTATCAGTAATGTTTTGAAACAGATGTCAGATGTTTTGTATTTTCAAACATACTGTTGTTGCAGACATACAAATTAACACTTGAATCAGCACATGTTGTAAACAAAGCGTGTTCTATTCAGAAAATCTTCCAGGTTTTGTTGAAAGGAGTCAAAACAGACTTCTTTGCAACTTGATATTTCTCAGAGATACTGGTTTTATATGCTGAGTGTATCATCTCAATTTAGATGTTTTCTTTGAGACCCTATGGGCTAATTATCTGTATGTACTGGGGTTTAGTTAGTTATCCCTTGTGTTGAAGCTTTCAAGCTGGATATTCTTAGCGTGAATGATGTGAGACTTGAGGGAAAACTCTGTCCTGATGATTTAACTTTAGATATGTCATCTATGATAATGACTACACTAACAACGACAAAAATCCTGATATTATACTAATTGTTCATGTACATGCAATGTTTAATTTAGCTAATGATCCTTGGGGACCTGGTTCTGTTAACTTCAATTAATTAGGAATTGCTCTCTGTTGGGAGCTTTACACTGCAGGTTGTGAATCTACTATGGGTGTTAAATGGGTCTTTTGGTTTTGCAGGTCATTGTTATCTCATTTAAGTCTTAGGGACTGGTCTAAAATTTAAAAGGTTTGGAGAAAATATTACCCATGAAAACGACGTCTTCTTTTTTGAAGCACGGTGTTTTAGATAAACCTTTTTTTAGTCTATATTTCTATTTTTTGAATTATGGCCAATGGTTGACCTGGATCACTTGTCCCTTCTAAGTCTCCCCTTCCCCTCATGCATTTTGCTTGTGGTTCTTGTTTCCTGGATCAAACTTCAATTGCTATTTGAACAATTTGTTTAACTTCCACGGTCACTCCAACCCAATTTAACTCCAGCTTTTAAATCCAAACCATGCAACGAGCTGGGATATCTCTGTGATTGAAATTAGAATTTCTTGACTATAACAGCACGATCTGAAGCATGAAAGCAGGTTATGTTTTGGATTCTGCTCATTTCCTTGATTATCTCTTAAATAGCATACATCAAACACATTGAAGTTCAAAGCGTGTTAACTGACATTTTAAAATGATTTCCCTGTGGCTGTGCATATTGAATTATTTTCTCCGGAAAAGAAATGATTACAGTTAATCATGAGATCCTGGTATTCCTATAGGACCTAACCTTTTTAGTTTTTATCCCACCGAACGAAGTTCGAGGGGGATATAGAGAAGCCGTCTGTCCATCTGTTTGTCCGTCCATCCGTTCGTCCGTTTGTCCGTCCATCCGTCCATCCGTCCGTCCGTGTGTCTGGGCGATAACTCCAATACCGGTTGACAGATTTGGTTCAAATTTTATAGGCTTATGCCTTATGAGTGTAGGACCTCTGCTAGAGAAGGAATTTTCAATTCAAAATGGCCGCCATTTTTCGTAAAAAATGTAATCGTTGATAACTCAAATACAAGTTGACGGATTTGGTTCAAATTTTATATGCTGATGCCTAGGGACAAAGGAGTTTCGCACAAAAAGAGATTTTCAAGATGGCCAATTAATTTCAAAATGGCGGCCATTTTTCGTAAAGATATGTAATCTTCGATAACTCAAATAGCAGTGAACGGATTTGGTTCAAATTTTATATGATGATGCATAGGGACACAGTAGCTATGTTCGACAAAAATTTTTCAAGATTACCGCTTAATTTCAAAATGGCGGCAATTTTTCGTAAAAAACGTAATCTTTGATAACTCAAATACCAGTAAACAGATTTGGTTGAAATTTTATATGATGATGCCTAGTTCACAATGGTATAAACTAACTTTGTGCCAAATTTCATGCTTCTATCACAAAGTGCACAAAGATTTCAACATTTACACTAGCTATAATAAGCATAATATGTTTTGTTCGGTGGGATTTGCTACTCCGTGGAGTTGCTTTTTTTCTAGTTACTGTGTATTATATTTTTCAGGAATGACCAGGTACATTAAAGATATATATTTCCCACTGGGATTACATAATTGCTAAGTAATTTGAAGCTGGTTATTTGAATGCATTTGTGGTAAAAATCATTTTGTAACTTTTTAAGCATTTGCCAACTCCAAAGTACGTCCATAAATGCATCTTCTATTGTGACCAATCAGAATACAGCACATGACCATGCTATCAAATCTGACGCTGAGTGTTACGGTTAAAGAGAGAAAATTGTAATAATGGAAAATATGACCTTAAACGTGTAAGTGAAATGATTAGCTGGAAATGGGTGTTGTTAATGCATGTCTAAATGTTAGGAATCAGTTACAGATTTTCTCCTATGCAAAAAAGTTTCCGGTTTAATTACATTTCTTTTTAATAATATTGCAAAAAATGTTTTACTGTTACTGTGATAGAGAACTCAATTAATTTTGGCTGAGATAATGCAATTGGTTTGTATAGCTCGGTCTATCCACATTTGTTAAAACTTCATACAAAAACTTTGTGCATTAAACACCCACAAATCATTGAATCCTTTACAGTTTTTAATTGAAATGGCACTGGCGATCTCCCACGCCCCCCCCCCCCTTTGGGTGATCCCAGTAAAAGATTTTGGGCCCAAAGATTTTGTAGGGCCCCAATTAGTAGACCTTTTTGGGTATTACCTGGCCTTTTTGGCCATATTTTCTAATTTCAGGCCAAATTATCAAAAAATAGGCCTTTAAATTTCAAAATTTGAGCACAATTTTTATGTGTTAGGGGCTCCGCACTTCAGACTTGAAAGTTCGACCCTTGTTACCTACTGGATCCGCCAGTGAATGTGTAAATGATATTGACTGTTTTATATTCAGGTTACATTTGCTTTTGATTAACATGCAATTAAATGACTTTGCCCAATATTCTGTCTGAGCTTGTTAGATAACCTGTCATTTGTAATTAGACTACTATGTACAAATAGACCCAAAGAATCAATGAAATAAGTAATCCGTATGTTGTAAGTGTTAAGCTATTAGCCGTGTTTGTATATGTGTTACTAGGTGTTGTTGAGATGAGGTCATACTTTCCCGGCTGACAGTTAATGGGTTTATCCTCTGTAAGGAACAATGGTCCTCCTAATACAGATGCATTACTACTAGTTACTCTGACGATGGATTTGACATTAGCTGCACCGCTGTCTTTTGTTTTATCATATTTAATCAGTCCCAAGCCACCTAGACCACCTATACCAGCTTTACACCCAAAATAAACATCAAGTTTATCTTGAGTGACATCAGCAATTGCTACACCTGTAACAGTTTTACTGGGCCCACTCAAAAAGCTGCAGATACTCTCAGCCTCCCCATCTTTGAGAATAGTGTGGTGGTTGCTAAGGCGGCCATTTTCCAAGATGGCGCAGATAACTGATACAGTTGTTGACCAGCATAGAGTTCCATCTTTATAATCAATACCTACTGTGTGACTATTGTCTTCGTTCAGTATCGCCTCACGATGAAGCAATGTAACACTCCCATCTTCAGTAATTTGTAATAAATCAATTGTAGTTTTTACTTCATCTTCATTTTCCCCGAGAGTCCGGTTAAAAATCTGATAGAAAAACACCTTTTTATTGGTCTCTGGGTCAATGTGGAGTTTCAACTCACCTCCTTTCACTCGAAAAAGTCTCTTTCTCCAGTTTCCCCTACTTTTGTAATCCTCAGTGACATTGGCGATAAGTCGGGAGCATTTGAGTATATTAAACTCCCAACTCGTTGATTTGTTCCATGAATCTTCACATCCTTCGAGAACCCTTAGTTCTAACCGAACAACATAATTCTCAAAGTCTCGATAATTTCCATATGTGCCAAGCAACATGAAGTAAATCTTTGAATTGTGATATGCAATCCCACAGAACCCAGCATCGAAGGAAAAGAAAAAATCACGATTATCAAAGGTTGGTGTTTCTGCCGTTAGATATCGTGCAGCAAATAACATCTCTGGATATTCCTTGAGGCCTCGGCAAAGTGGCCCCTTACCGAGGTAGAGTCTTGTGGTAGATACTTCATTGAAATGTAAAAGGACCTCTTTGGATATCGGGTCATATGATACTGTTTTTAGACTTATACCTGTCATATGTGTGCTTGCGTATTTTGCTCTATTGTATCCACTTGCGTACAAATTTGTAGCATTGCCATTGTCAGCCATATTGATTTCACCACCGTAAAGTCCTGCTGGTGACTGCATAAATCTGATACCGGGAGATATCCTGTAAAGATATGTGGCCAGGCTCCTCTCGATTTCCATGAATAGTACGACAAATCCAATATATCTCAACAATCCCTCCATCTTCAATATCTTAGATTTGATCTGATGGAGAAACCTGCAACAGAAACATCTATCTGGTTATTAGAATTATATTCAGCTCAATAATCGTGAAAAATTACATTTTGACGGTGAAGAGCTGGCACTGCTGATTCTTGTGACAATATTTCTCTATATATTGATTAATATAGTCTGGGAAAAACCTACCTACTGTATGTATCAAGTGTCAATCTAATTGAGTAATTAAGTATTCAGTTTCGAAAATGAAATTATTCGTCTGATTTGTCGTATTTTGATCAATTTTGCTTGCAGACCACATGCCTAATGCCTATGTATACCTCAATATCATTTTTTATACCTTCCGGATTGATTGTATGCATTACACTGTAACTGCACAGTTACACAGATCTATTGATGTTTTTCTCACAAGTAATTTCATGGCAAGTCTGCAAGTGAGTCCGTTGTGCATGGAATTATCTCCCTCAACAACACTTTCAAATCAGATAGTCCCAACCAAATTTTTTCTCTTTCTTACATTTTAATTGCTCTTGTCTTTTAAAACCTGACTGAAGTACTTATTTTGTCTAGCTCAGAGGTTTAGCTTTGTTTCTTTTATATTACATTCAATGTCGGCACTTCCACTTATACTGAACTTTGTATATGAAGTATTGGTGATTGCTGTATTTTTCTCAGTGGATGCCAGCCTGTATTAGTATGTCTTGTTCAAGAATATTGATTGCTTCTCCCTTTTAGGTGATTTCATTTAATGGGTTTATATCTTATTCACAAAAATGAACAAGATCACAGTGTGAGTTCTTCAGCCTTTTATTTCATTGAACAAGTTGCTTGAATTTAATATGATGTTTTTATTAATAATTTGAATGATCGCAATTGAGGAATGACAGTGGTCAGTTTTTCCAAGAGCCACGTAACAGTGTACAATGTAGTTAGTGTGATATTAATTGCATTGTCTTTTACAGAACTACATTCCCTTACAAAATTTGTTTCAAAAATGTATTTCTGAATGATGCAATTAAGAGAAGTCAAAAAAGAAAAAGAAAATTAAATACATAATTTGTAATTCAAAGTTACAAAGTTGTCTTTGCTGACTGAATTTAATCTAAACTTATATTTAGATTAAATCTTTTTGATTCACAGTGAAATTGCCAGAATAAAAGGTGAGTAATTTTGGAAGAATTTTTTAATCCTTCTTTGGAAATTACTTTTACTTTAACACACGTAAAAAAATAGCGTGGAATATTGCATGATCACACGGTGCATAATTCTTTATTCTTTTTTTATATTGGATATTTATAGACAATGGGGTTTGAAGCTTAACATACAACACATAAATATTGAATAGAGATGTCTGGATATCACAATCAAGGCACCTGTATAGCCAAGAACTATCAATAATATATGTAACATTCTCTTTTGATATTATATGGCATTTTCTTGTATTTTGAGTGACTTTCTATTTTCGTGTTTACTTTAACTAACACCTTACATCCATGTGGTAGTTTAAGAGTATGTTACCATACTTTACTGTTTGAGTATGGTGTTGTACAGTGTTTATGGTACTGTTTTAGTCTACAGAACCATATTTACTAAAAAGATCAGGATCATATAGATTTCCTATTATAACCATAAATAATTGATTTTTGAACATAAAACGTTTATCATTAACATGTTAGAAATGCAGGTAAGCAGATGATGCCGCTTTTATAGATTACAATAACATAAAAGATTCATTATTTCAACATCAGGTCTACACACATTTTTACAAGTTTTTTCTCACAGGCTATGCGTTGAGTCAAAATGTTGTTACGACCTTTCATTTGGAGTTGTACAGTACACATTCCTTAATTGATTATTTGTGAATTATCAAAGAAAATTTTATGTAAAGCGACATATCAGTATATCGATTTGCAAAAAACACAAGTAATTATATTAGGAGGGAGGGGGTAAGAGGTCAATATTGTTACCTTGGCTTAAATCAATTTCAACGGAATCCAGCAATAGAATTAGTCTAAATTATTTAGTTATCGAACAAAGCGGCCGAACAAAGCCACAAAAATGTATGATGCCCATTCATTTATGAAAAGTTGTGAAAAGTTACCATAAAACTGAAGCATGTGTTTGGGAACATGGATATGTATTTTTTGGTACAATGGATCACTAAGGTTCTACACGTAGTTCTTTAGTCTATTCACTTCAGTAAAACCTAAAAAAAAGGAAAAGGAAATTTGTATTTAATTTGTACATAAATGACATTTGTTTATTTCAGATAATTTAGTGTTTTTGTGCAATAATCCTGTGGCCTTTTGTAATTTAAGGAGTTTCAGCCATGGTAATTTTTTCACATCAAAATATTAGAGGCCACACATTTTATTAGCCAAACTAGAAGCAATCCAAGATTTTAAAATGTCATTTATGTACAATTTAAAATTTAAATACAATTCAGTTATTTCATTTCACAATGGTGTTTCAATTTCTTACTTTTTAGGTTTTGTTAAGTGAATAGACTAGTGAAATGGACTTTACTATTCCTATGAAATGATCTAATCGTGCAGCCATTGACAAAATCCAGATTAAAATCAGATTTCAGTTATGTAATACAAGCATCCATAATATTATCCTCTTTCTAAAAGGTGCCAGTATATGCATACAATAAATTCGATGATGAAAAAACTTCAACTGAACAGATATTTTTCTAATAAAATGAGATCATGTCACATAATATACTTGGGGCTTTTTATAAAGTACATCTGCAAGGAATGATTTATACTCATATTATGTTATATGCTGGAGAATACATCAATAGAGTCCTGTATGTATTCTGTATTAATCTGACTGAAGTAGGTACATGATGCTCGTCAAATAAAATGTTTCACAAAACTATATCTTAATTAAAACAGAATCATGATATTCTGCATATATGAAGTACATACATACCTGTTCGTATGATATTCCCTATTTTATAACTGCTTCACTCTGATATTTAGTTGATAGCAAAAGTATTTCAAACCATTAGTGTTAATATGTAAACATAGACTGAATTCCAGTATTATAGAGAAATGAGCCTACTGCCTCCATGTGTGTAAAACATACAGTCAATTACTACAATATTCCCTCATCATATATTCGCTCCAGTAACTTGTGGACATATAAATATTTATTTCCTAATGCCTTACAGCCTCCAATGCATTGGACTTGATTAATAAAAGCAACCAATGCGCTTAGATGTATAGATGTGAATCAATTAATGAGGTATCCCTGATACTTAGGACTGTATGCATTGCTATATCTGAGTTAATTGCTTTCCCAATCAGCTGAAAATCAGCTACTGACTTTATCAGAAGAGTCTGTATTAGTACATAAGATATATTACAAACTCAGATTAAATTGCTTGATTGTGTCTATAGCTGTCAATGTCATTCATATGCTATATGCATATATCAAATGTATTAATGATAACTTACTAGCTTTGTTATTATAATATTATCTCTTATCCTAATTACAGTATACACACAATATACTCTAGTAAAGCTGCAATGTGTTTAAACATAAACACACAATATACTCTAGTAAAGCTGCAATGTGTTAATACATAAACACACAATATACTCTCTAGTAAAGCTGCAATGTGTTAATACATAAACACACAATATACTTTGGTAAAGCTGCAATGGGTTAATACATAAACACACAATATACTCTAGTAAAGCTGCAATGTGTTAATACATAAACACACAATATACTCTAGTAGAGCTGCAATGTGTTAATACATAAACACACAATATACTATCTAATTAAAACTGCAATGTGTTAATACATAAACACACAATATACTATCTAATAAAACTGCAATGTATCAATACATAAACACACAATATAATCAAGTAAAGCTACAATGTGTTGATACATAAACACACGATATACTCTAGTTAAGCTGCAATGTGTTAATACATAAACACACAATATACTCTAGTAAAGCTGCAATGTGTAAATACATAAACACACAATATACTCTAGCTAAGCTGCAATATGTTAATACATAAACACCCAATATACCCTAGTAAAACTGCAATGTATCAATACATAAACACACAACACACTTTAGTAAAGCTGCAATGTGTTAACACATAAACACATAATATACTTTGGTAAAGCTGCAATGAGTTAATACATAAACACACAATATACTCTAGCTAAGCTGCAATATGTTATTACATAAACACACAATATACTCTAGTAAAGCTGCAATGTATACACACAATATACTCTAGTAAAGCTGCAATGTGTTGATATATAAACACACAATATTCTCTCTAGTAAAGCTGCAATGAGTTAATACATAAACACACAATATACTCTAGCTAAGCTGCAATATGTTAATACATAAACACCCAATATACCCTAGTAAAACTGCAATGTATCAATACATAAACACACAACACACTTTAGTAAAGCTGCAATGTGTTAATACATAAACACACAATATACTCTCTAGTAAAGCTGCAATGAGTTAATACATAAACACACAATATACTCTAGCTAAGCTGCAATATGTTAATACATAAACACCCAATATACCCTAGTAAAACTGCAATGTATCAATACATAAACACACAACACACTTTAGTAAAGCTGCAATGTGTTAACACATAAACACATAATATACTTTGGTAAAGCTGCAATGAGTTAATACATAAACACACAATATACTCTAGTCAAGCTGCAATGTGTTAATACATAAATACACAATATACTCTAGTTAAGCTGCAATGTGTTAATACATAAACACACAATATACTCTAGTTAAGCTGCAATGTGTTAATACATAAACACACAATATACTCTAGTTAAGCTGTAATGTGTTAATACATAAACACTAGTGAAGCTGCAATGAGTTAAAACATAAATCCACAATATACTCTAGTAAAGCTGCAATGTATACACACAACACACTTTAGTAAAGCTGCAATGTGTTAATACATAAACACACAATATACTTCAGTAAAGCTGCAACATGTTTATACATAAAACACATAATATTTTACAGTAAAGCTACAGTGTGTTAATACATACCTCTCCACTTTCTAATCTGCTCATTGGGTATAATCACTTAAACCACTAAGTTACCCACTTGTAAGTTTTTCTAGTAAAACAAAACTCACCTTGTTAAATACTGAGGTTACTCCTGTAAATCATCATACTTGCATTAGATGTTTCAGTGAGGTTATATTTTTATTGCCTAAAATGCCAAAAATATTTATTCAGTGGTTTTCCTGACAGAACTTAATTTGGCCCAAAACTCAAGCAATGTACTTTCGGATTTTATGGAATGTTTTATTGAAAGAATGTTTATAATCAGGACCCAAGTGCTATTTTAGTTTAGACAGGGTAGCTATTAGTGTATATGTTTACCATGTAGTGTACTTATTTTGGGGTTGTCTTGCAATAAGTTTCTACCCCCCCTCCCTCAACGCCTCCCATTATCTTTTCTTCTAGCCTTACTCCAGGGGGAGATTGTGTAAGTATACGGAATGTTAGTATAGGTGGTTACGCAAAACTGATAACTTCAATTATAGGATCTGTTTCTTAGTTCTTATTAGTAACTTGCAAGAATTTGGTGTTAGATTTATGAGTGGAGGATCTTTATATACTGTATCTCATTAGATCTTTGAATTTATGTAACCTTTAACTTCAGTGAACTTAGCTGCACTTGACTTTTTCTGGAAATTGAGTCTAAGATTATATCTTGACTATAGAACCTGCACAGACTCACTGATCTGCAGTCTCATTAGATCTTAATCCAGTTTTGAAGTTGTAATATAGATCTTTAGGCCTGAATAGTGTATAGATATGTTTTTAGGGGGTATATGATATTCTATTATCCAATTAGATGGAGTGTCACATATTGTGTTGCATCTCTTTATCATTAATCATGCTGCCCGTTTTCCTTCTCCAATCACTTGGTTGGATGCACCTAAAGCATGTGGCAAACAGTAATGTGCAGTAACAGTAAAGCAATGTAATCTTTAAAATAATGAGTGATTTACCAGAATGTTTTGAATAGTAAGGTTTACTACTGTTTTTGGCTCACACAGTGAGCCTATGGGATCGACCAGGCGTACCTCTGTCCGTTGGTCCGTCCATCCATCTGTTGGTCCGTCCGTCCATCTGTTGGTCCGTCCGTCCATTCCTTGGTCCGTCCATCGGTCAACATTGGCCGCACAAATTAAAACTGCTATTCGGATTGAGTCATATCCACATTCATTTTATGCATATTCATAATGCCTATTTGACCTATCATCGCCATTTCCCAAGTCCGCCCGGTTTCCGAGAAATTGCTGTAAATTCTAAACACTTTGTTGAAGTACTACAAATCCAAATCAATATTTTTGTTTGAAAGTCAGGATATACATTCCTCTGAAGGTTCCAAACTGTGTGAGCACAGGACCGTGTGTCCTTTATTCTAGTTACAATTCAAAGTTTTCATATGAGTAAGTTGTCTGTTTCATGTCTTGGACATGCTTTATCAAAGCTTTGATACAATGGATCTACAAAGCATCTGTATGAACTGAAATATAAGAGGCCCTTGACCACATACTCGATCTGCCTCATTTACTCCCAGCAGGGGTACAAGATTGAAAAGTATCATATATAGTACATGATACATCCTTCTTCAAAGGACTTCATTTATGCTTAAATTCAATACAAAATTAAATTTATACTTGTAAAATACCGGGCCTCAGTCCATGATAGTGAATGTGTTAGTATGATGGGCAAATCTTGTAAGTGCCACTTTTCAGACATTGACCATGCAGATGGGTCAGGTTTGTTTGGCATTATAAGTGTACTTGTTGATATCACCATAGAAACTGTGTACATTATGGGATGCAAAGTCAAAGTAGCACAGTATATTGACTGGTTGAGCATGTATAATTGCATACAATTTGTTTTGGTTAGGTTTATTTATTTATTGGCATAACCTAGTTATATTATATGGTTATACAAACATGTATATGGTAGATCAAAAGGAACAAAATTATTGTATTAATATTTCAATATAATACCACCAGTATTTTACAGTTACATGCATCTTTAAATATATATTTCTTTAAAGCCCATGTTTAGAGCTATAGCTCATGATATGTAGAAATAACCTTTCATCAATAATAAACAAGTATGATGGTAATTCTATGAAAACAGGTGATTATCTTATATATCATGTCATTTTCCAGTTGTCATTAATGCCTGTACATTATCATACTTATTTGACCCTTCATGTTAAAAGTTATTTTTGACAAACCTACTTTAAAGTCTGTCTTAATTACTTTAGAGCAATTGCGACTTATTTACTTATGACTATAACTTATACTTTCAGGTTCGATTTTGAAGGACACATCGTGGCATCTGAGGTTCCTGAACACCTAGGGCTTCATCACCATGGTGACGAGTCAAACAGGGCTGGTTACACACTTGAGGAACTGTTCACATTGGCCCGCAGTGCAAACCTACAACAGAGATTGTTGGCATTACAGGTTGTGGCAAGAATTATGCAAAATGTAAGATTTATTTTAATCTTTAAGTCACATATATGAAGCCTTCATTTTTATATATGAAATTTTTGTGGCCACCTCACAGGATCTGATGTAAGTCAAAACTTTGATAATCAAACTCACCAGAGCCAAATAGCCCAATCTTATTCTACCCAACTGTTGGTATGAACTGATGTATCTGTTATTTATTGCACCATTATGATCATGATGCCATCTTTATTTTGTGATGGAGTGAAATTCAAGCATTCGAATAATTGTTAAGGTTGCATTTACAGAGTGCTAACATTTCTGATCTGCTATGGAGATATATAAGTCTCACACATTCAGACCATTTTCAAGCTGATCCAATCAATTCATTATCACATTGATAAATGCTTTGTTGCTGTCTGCATTAGAGTTTTTCAGGGACTAGGTCAAAATAATAATGTTTTTTGCAAAACTAAGATTTGATGAAGTTATCATTGTGAGGGTTTAATGGCTGGACTGACTTTCTCACATATGCCTGAGGCACAGGATTTGATTCTGTTTTTTCAATAACTTATCAAAGTGCTCAGTTTCAATGTTAATTATCTAGCAAATTCTGACTTTTTAAACCCCCACCCCACATCCTAATTAGTCCCACACATGATTGTCCCTTATTTTCAGGCCAAACAATGTGAGTTTGAGAAAGTTCTGCAGAGTCCAATCATTCCTTCTCTGCTTGATGCTGGAATCGTGTTCCTGCTTCGTTGGGCACTTGATGATAGTGTGGAGAGTATAATAGGTGGCGCTGTCCATGCTATACAAGCCTTACTGGTCAATAGCACTGATGAGGTATGTGTTTAGTGATATGAGGTTCATCAGGATAAAATATAGTGTTGGGCTTATAATCCTACAATCCACTTTCATGAGATTGCTAAAAATTCAATAAAATTAAATGTTGATGAACAATCAAATAATCTTGATCAACCACCTAAAGCAACTGACATTCAAGATTACAATATTACTAGTTTAAAACCTTATGACATTTCAGAGATGTTATGATAAAATGTGGAGTTGGTACAGAGGATATGAGATGCCACACTTGTTACCAAGCAATGTTGCTATGGAGACTGAGGATGAAGAAGAAAAAGATACAGAGACGGATGCTCAGCTTGTGAAAAAAGATGTTATCAAAGTAAGTGCAATTTCACCTTGTGTTTCATATTGTTTGAAGTGCAAAAAGGTAATATTTGAATCTTGTTAAATTGATTTCAATTACCCTCCATACATCCATGTATACAGTATAGTTTTACATCTCTGTATTTAGGGTTTCCTTAGAATGGATCTTCTGCTTCGTTTGAGGTACATTCTGGAGAAGTGCAAGCCAACAGCCCCTGTTGTTGTGTCTGTTCTGCAAATACTCACCCGTATTGCTAGGCATACAACAGAATCTGCATATAAGGTTAGCTTTCATATAACTCTTAAGGCTCTATCTACGAGATATACTCATTGATTTTCATGAATCTCATATATATGGTCAGTGAGAGAAAACAATATAGTAATACACCACACATAATTTTGTCGCCAACTTGCAATACAGCAATATTTGACAATTTTATTCAAAGATATTCCTGTGTTTTTTATTTAATTTGGAGTGATACGCTACAGAGGCAGTTTTAACCTTGTGTCCCTCATGCTCTCACTCTACTGAACAACTTCTCATTTATTATTAGGTGTTAAATTGTCCAAGGCTGATAAAGACTATTGTGAATAACTTCCTGCCTTTTACATGGAAGCCTTCGGGTGAGTAAATAGTTTGGTTATTATGTCACCACCAAAAGTAGTGACAATGGTCTCCATTTTTTGTGACAGCGGTTGGTGGTTGATGTCCAATGGTTGGCATCCAGCGGTTGGCATCTGTAACAAGTTCTTACAACTACTTTTCCCTGACCTGGGAACGTTAGGGAATTTTAGAATTCTGAGAAGGTCAGGGAAGTTCTTTTTTCAAGGTTAGGTTTTATTTATTTGCAATAAGATTTTACACTTGTTAACATACTAGGAAGGCCTAGGTAAAACATTACATTATTGGCCTCCCTTATATAAAATTTGCAAATTAACATATATTTACATCAGTTCTCAAAACATGTGTCCTGTCTTTTATAAGTGTTACATCATCCTTATGGGAAATGTAAGGAATGAAATGATAATGATTGATGAAAGATGGGTTGAACTTTGTCTTTACAATCACGGATATGTATAAAGTATCAGATGATTTTGTCAATAAGATTTGCTGATAAATTGGTAATTTCTTTGTTACATTCATTTGAAAGTTTACAATCTCCAAAAAGCATACATGTAAGCCAGGGAAGTGAGGGTGTAACTTTGAAAATTTGAGAATTGAACAGTTAATCGCTAAAATGAAGATACAAAATTAGAATAAAACTAAATTAAAACTACTAAAATCATATGCAATCTTGAAGTTCATATTATTTGTCCCTTTTGATAAAATATGTATTTTCTGGATAAATGTATACTGAATCTAACACCAAGAGATCTATTTTGATATAGCAAAATACACAGTGAAAGCATTTATGCCTCAGCTCTCCTTTTCTCACTTATTTCGTAGAATTCATTTCCTGTATATCATTTATTTTCAGATGATATTGTCCAACTGTCAGACATCTACGGACATCCATTATCTTGTGCAATCAAACTACTCAGAGTTCTCTCTACAACAGGTGTCAACATGGCCAGAATCATAGTAAGATGGATTTACTCCCAAATAGCAACAATTGACCCAAATACAGTGAGACCTGTCAAATGGAACACCTCTAGAAGAGAAACACCTCTGTTAATGGAACACTTTTTAGAGTCCAAAGACCAACTGACTTATGTTAAATGAATATATGGAACACCTCCCAAGTGGAACACTTTTTAGAGATACCAAATGTGTTCCACTTAGAAGGGTTTTACTGTACATTGATCTGTCGATTTTGTCTTGTCATTTGTAAAGACTGAATAAGTGAATTAATCAAGCGTCTTGTTTAAACTCATAACATCTCTAATAACAGAGAAACCAGGGTTAATACAATAGATGTATGAAATACAAGTAGAAGGATATTGCATGTTTTGCTATCAATGACATCATTTATTTACTCATCAATTACTCAATATTTCAGGTTTCTGAGTACAAAATCCTGGACAGAATCAGTAGATTTATAATTCAGGAAACAAGGTGGGCACACATATTGTTTACTCCAAGGTAGACTGAGGGGCCTGGCTTATATTTTGAACTATTTAGACATAAGCTGACATACTGTTCTACTGTAGCATTGTACACAAAAATGTCCAAATATCTTCCCACAAAAATTATACTTTTCGAGACACATTTTTGTCACACACATAATAGAGTCATCTATAATGTAATAAACTACTAACCCTGACCCTACTCTAAGTAATCTATAATATAGCAAATCTAAAACTAAAACCAGTGACTTGAATCTCCATGTCTGCCAAGGGATATTATAGAGTTCTGTAAGAGAATCTGAAACTATTTTCAGTGAACTTCAGTTGAATACAAAGGAGGCAGAGCTGCTATGTGTTGAAGCCTATAGACTTTGGGGACACTTCCTGGCATATGGATTAACATCAGAACATTTCCGAGACCTTTATTCAATCTTCATTACACAGCTACAAAATGTGCAACAGTTGAGTCATGACTGTGAAGGTTATCACCTTGAAAGGGCGGTGGCCATGATAAGACTGTTGCAAAGTTCTATTGAAGTTAGTGCTACTCATAGAAACCTTGCAGCGAAGTTGAAGAATGAGTAAGTTGTATTGATCACTCATATTGAAAAACATAATTTAAGGGCATGCTTAAACATTTACTACAATATTCAGGAACTGTATATCCTATGCTTAAATTTTGAAAATTAAGTAAACATAGAAATTAATTAAGACAATCAAAATCAAATGTTAATACATTGTTTTACATTAAAGAAATGACTGCATCGATGATACATATGTGTTTATTTTTCATTTCCTACTTCATGCTACTTATGTGTTTTGCATTTTTAGGCAAAAGAGTGATGAACCGAAAGAGCCTTTGCCATCCATAGATTGGACACATGCGGAAGGTCTGATTCAACCAATAGAAAGCCTTATGTCAAAACTTATGAAAGACTTCATGGGACATTTTACAATTAAGAAATACGACCTCTCTCTACTCTCAGCATGTGTCAACTGTGTCGCCACCTATTATGCAAAAGTAGCAAATCAGGTACTAGATATTTCTTTAATTTTATTTTATGAATAAGATGATATTTGTGACATTCATGTGCCTTACACTCACTGACTGTGTCTGATTTCAAATGTCAAAATACAAAATATGTTCTCTAACCATCTTTATAGTCAAAACTGACACAATGACGTACATATTAAAGGAAGTTCATGAATTTAAATTGAGGAATACATGCTCTATAAATAAAACTCTAATATGATTATCAAAATAGATGTACTTTTATGTTTCAAGTGGTAACCTCACATACACCTAAGCTTTGATTTATACTTTAAAGGTGACAGGAGATACGATAGCCCTGCTAAGCCACATTCAGAAAGTAGTAGATGATAATGTTGTGCCACTTCTCAACTCACATGCATTCTCTATGATGTTAGGATATCTGAGGTAAGGAACTAACCCATTGCAGAGATTAACATTTACTCATGGTCATAGTTTCCTGATAACATTGATTGGAATATAAATTCAATGTACATGGCATTTATTCAAAAATAGATAAGCATAAATTATTGTGTCAGTCAGTTAAAACACATTAGACGGAGTACTCCAAAATACTTAAAACCTTAGTGTACTTGTATATCTAGAAGTTCTTTCAGTTGCATCTTAATGTTATGCCTCCAGTGAAAACTCAAATATCTTATCCGGCTTGACATCTTCACAACGAGAGATAAACCCAGCACTGCCAGAACTTGCATGTTTGTGTGGCCAAGATGTGGTAGTCCCTGTATTGCAACAGAAAACCCCATACAATACATTTCTAGCTCTCCTACATCTGGTTCATTCCTTAGGGAAGATTGATAAATCTGTTGTTCCAAAGGTAGGAAGAATACTGTAACTATATTGTATGTAATTTGAAGTATTGATGATTGACATATATAGGAATTGTTTATGGAAGGAGAAAATACTATACTAATCATACATGCACAGAGAACTAATTACTAATTCATTTGAGGACGGAAATAATATACTCATATTTTTACTTATACATTTGTTCTTATACCATATTTTAGTACTAAATCTATGTAACATTTATGTTCTCTCACCTTTAGATGTTTAGCAAAATATTGGATGATAAAGATGTTCTGAGCTACACCAGAAGAGTGTGTAAAATTAGAGATGGTGGCTTGGTTTCCCATTGGACAACACGCTTTGAAACATACATCCAGTTTTACTTGGCTAAAATGGCAAACATGCAGGTATGAGAATAGTGTATTTTGCAAATATGGGGAATGTGTCTATGGCATGAGCAAGATCAATTTCAATGTTGACTTAAAGACAAGAGACAGTATATCTTACTAGTCTTTCTTAATTCCTTGATGATATGCTAGGCTAAAAAGCTTTTTTAATTTCACCACCTTGAAGTAATGAAATATTGTTAAACCCATTTTTTGTCGCTGGTTGTTGTTGGCATTCTACATTGAAACACTTTAGTTATTGCAACCAAGTGGTTAGTGGTGGCATTTTGTTGTATAAATACTATATAACCAGTTGAAATATAGTGTGAATTTCATGATGCATGCTCAGTGTTTCTTTTTTTCCATATTCAGGTGGTATCGGATATGTCTGTTTTGCACCAGATGTCACTAGCAGTGTTTACACGTCTCCATGACAATGATAGCCACATAGCACATGACCTGCTTTCAACTGTGCTGTTCAATCGGAACTTTATCACGTAAGTATAAAAACAGTCTGACTTGTAGATGATAAATGTACTGCATGACTTGTATATAATGTATTAAGTATATGTCAAGAAGATTGGTATAAGCTAAATAGGTCAACTTGAGAGATATATATTGCTCAAAATTGGAAATATTAACAACTAATATTTCTTCATGCAACATTTTTTCTTACACATAGATTTACTTCATGTTCGTTGTTATTTCATATACTGTACAGTGAATCCCAAGAAGACAGTCTTACTTCAGAGGGTCTATCAGAGCTGACATTGCAGAAACCAGCAGATATCACCAGTGCTGCTTCCTTTACTACAACACCAACTAATAGAGCAACTCTTCTTGAGGATATATGCCAGTGTTTACCAAGTATAAGGGCAACTTATATGGCAACATTTGGTTCAATGGCAGCTGGCCTTCAGCAGTCAAGGTACTAAATAATAGTTGTCTACCATGCAGTTTAAACTAAATTTTTCATCTGATTCACTTTTTTGTAAATCTTTGAAGTTGCCCCAGATGATGGGGAATGTACAGATGTATGTGACCTTGTTTTGATGTCAAGATCCTGCAAACCACTGCCTCTTGGTTTGGTTGCAACTGTTTCATGGTGTAGGTATCTGGTTACAAGGGTCATATAATCTAGAAGTATAGATATTCTAAATTAAATCTACATGTACAGGGTGTTTCATTAAATGCCTGCCAATACCTCAACTACCTACTATAACTCAAATGTCTAATTACAGAGCCAGGGCCCAAGGTTTGTGTAATGAGATAGAAAGTTTCCAGTGTGGAGCATTCAACGGCTGTCTTGTCCCAAGAGACTGGATGTACCTGCCTCTAGTAGACCTCTACCAAAAATCAACATCTGGGTAAGTAAACTTTTCCCTTCTAATACTGAAATTTTATGTACACAGAGCTTACTTGTCCAACATGCCATTGATCCATATGAGGTTTTAATCATTTACAGAAGGCCTTAGCTATAGCTATTTTTGACAACTACATGTAGAAGTGCAACAAATCACTTAGTTTTTCTGTAATATGCTGGAAATAGAATGATTCATTAAAAAACTGATTTTGTAGTAGCTGCTTGCATGTGTGGGTTTTTCCATGTTATTGTGTATTTCTTCATGCTGTAAACACACAGTACATTTCTCAAAATCTTCCAGAGGAGATGTTTCAAACTGCAAAATTCTTTAATAAGTGAATTCATCAAAATTCTATTGTATATGAATAAATGTTTCCAGACAATTGAGTGATCTGATGGAAAATGTGCCACCTGCACTTGCATCTCATATAGCAGGTTGTTTGCGCTGGGTGTACCTTTTAGAGTGTTGGAGACCCCTTGAAACAGCATCAATCAACATGGCGATCAAAATATCAAGAACAATGTGCACATTTTTAGCAGGTATATTATACTGAAGTTTGAGTTTCCTCTAATGTTCCAAAATAAGTGTACATATATACTATAGAGTGTCAAAACAAGTAAAACAATATAGTCTAGAAGAAAGCCAAGAGGGGGTTGTTTTGGAGTATATACAATGTTTTATTGCATATGTTGGTCTGATGTGTTCTGATGAAGATTTGACAAATATGCAGTAATGTTACCTTGAGCAATTTTTTGTAATATTCCATAAGTAGGGATTTTAAGAATCTAGTTTTAAGAACTTATATACTTGCTTTTACATGGTTTTAGTGATTTCATGTCACATTTACATGATTAACTTTGAACTGAACCTTGAAACTGATAAAAAGTAATGCCGTAATTAAGTGCTGAGTCAGCAGTAATAGTTATTTTTCTCATTTCAATTGATTTTACATATCTTATCAATTTACAACCATATATTTGGACTTGAATGGTCAAAACTTAATGTTTTTAAGAACAAGCCTTAGGTTACTCTTTTGACTAAGATGTCAACTTTATTGATGTCAGCAAAATACTTCATCAAAATAGCAAAGCATTTTGTATTTTTATTGTATTTTATTTTGGATTGATTAATCCTCTTTCGCTGTTGTGAAAAATATATAACAGTATGCATTTTATTTAAAACATTTTCTGAACGAGAACAGTAATTACGCATGCACAATGATCTTGACAGAACTGAAACCACATATTTTCAACAATATAGCGACAAGTTTTCCTAGCAGCTGGATACAGTTGGTCCATCACTTTTTTTCATGAAATATGAACAACTGGACCAAACTGGTCAAACAGACCAGTCATGTTGGGTCAAGAGGTGATTTTTGGTCCCTGGACCAATGCCTATGCTGCACCCTGTGTGTTAGGTCAAAATGATATATGTATGCAATATGGAACCATCTCTAAATTTTGGGGACAATGAAGAGCAAATGGTCCTCCCCTAATATATAAGTAGAATGTATTTATAACATTCACACAACAACATATTCACCAGGCAGAAAAACAATCAATACAAAAAGATAATTTTTTATTACCTATTAAATTATATGATCAGATTAAGGAACAATTTGTCAAATCGCAAAAGTGTTTTCTTTCAGAAATATGCTAAGAAAAAGAAGATTCTTTATTTTTGTTTTTTTGATTTTGACCATCACAGTGTTGTTTTATTCAGAAAAAGTTAGAATAAAAACAATGAAGACTTCAAAAGAAGCAAAATCAGACACATCCCATATTACAGGAAATATGTTGACAACAGGAAAAAAGGATTACACAAAAAACTTTCTTTATATTGTGAATTCTGATCAATGCATAAGAGACTATCTTGTGGAAACAGACATGTTTGGGGACCCAGAGAATTTGGACGTGTTGGTATTGAGTTATAAAACTCCCTGCGAAGACTTGAAGTTAAACCATGTTAAATACATATTTGGCCCAAATACAACTTGGGCATCAGGAAGAAACAGTGCTTGGACATATGCGCAGAAACATCTTGGGAAATACTTGTATTATGTTTTCCTTGATGAGGATATCATACTGAAACCAACACTACCAAGAATTCTGAGTAAAGATGCACTGAATAAACTGAACCTGAATATTTCCATACTGAGACAATTTGAAAATTTTCTACTGGATACACGACCTGCTGTTGGTGCGCCTCTACGATCAGTGTTTGACCCTTTGGGTATTTACGACTTTGACGAGTGTTGCCAAGGAGAAGACAATCATGACAAACTATGGAATCTCACAGAACGAATCCCAATGATACGATTTGATGAGTGTTTTGCAGCATTCCATAATAAAGCTATTGGGTATATAATGCCAATAGATGTACAATATGACGCAATAAGTTGGTGGGGAGCAGGACGGTACATCAACATGAAATCATACTATTATTTTCACCGTCAGCTTGCACGATATACTCCCATGACTGTACATAATCCCCAGCATAAAGCTTATCCCCAAGGAATTATTCCATATGTGGATATAATTAATAACATCAGATTCAAAGTTCCAATGTCTTATAGAAATTCAACAATCTTCATGCAGGATCTTAAAATTATGGCTGGTGATGGATGGTTAAGGCATATTCATATTCATCCATTGAAACCAACTTTTGAATTAGCTCCTATAAATGATGAAATACTTCCTTTCAAATATATTAACACCATTAGAAACTTTAAATAATCAATTTACTATCTATAAAACCATATAAATAATTATTATAGAGCTGTCCAAAAGGCTTAAATCAGTATGCATTCAGACATTTCAGAATTTCAATCAAATAAAGTCAGTCTTTTAGCAGACATCATTTGAACTGGCATTGATTTGACAAATATGCAGTAATGTTACCTTGAGCAATTTTTTCTGCAACCGGGTCAGAGGATTTGTAATATTCCATAAGTAGCGATTTTAAGAATCTAGTTTTAAGAACTTATATCCTTGCTTTTACATGGTTTTAGTGATTTATGTCACATTTACATGATTAACTTTGAACTGAACCTTGAAACTGATAAAAAGTAATGTCGTAATTAAGTGCTGAGTCAGGGGTAATAATTATTTTTCTCATTTCAATTGATTTTACATATCTAATCAATTTAGAACCATATATTTGGACTTGAATGGTCAAAACTTAATGTTTTTAAGAACAAGGTTACTCTTTTAACTAAGATGTCAATTTTATTCGAAATATAATATGCTTTATTATATAAATGAGAATCACTAATTCTACCACATTCAAACCAGACAAATATACAATCTTAGATCTAGTTCGTTCAGAACAAACATTGGAAAATACTCTATAAGGAAGACAGGGTCAGACCTGTGGAACACTTTACCTCATAAAATTACTCATTCTAATACTCTTTCCACCTTCAAAAAGAATTTAAAATTACACTTGCTCAACATTTAACATCATTACTTAAAGAGAGAATAAGATCTAGCGAGCAGCCTAACAAAAAATTGTTTCAATTTTAGAATATTTGTTGTTCGTGTCATTCCCTTTCATGTCTATTTTCCAAAAGTGTACACTTTATTTTAGGAAAACTAAAGATTTTTACAATAATGTATTATTTTCTATAAGAATGGTGACCATTCTTATTATTTGGGAGAATCTAAACATTTTTCACCCATTTTTTCACTTTGAATCTCTTGTAACTTTACTGATTTATAACATATTGTGAATCTTTTGGGAGATTGTATTTGAGACTGTAAGGAATAAATTGGTAGGTCAATTGTACATGTTGCTTGTAATTTTATCACCCCCATAGATCTGATTCTGCCTTTAATCAAGGTCTAACTTTTCTGGGGAAAAATCTCTTGAGTAAAAAATTAACTTTTATAGTGTGGGTAGAGGAGGATGGAGGATGTGACCAACTGAATGTGAAATATTTAGTGTTAATTTTTAATTTTAATGAGCACTGATTTCTTGTATGAGTTTTGCTACTTGTAAATATTTTTTGTTTAGTATAATATGGATCATATGCCCTTTGGGGTATCTTCCACTGTTGGGATTGTATTTGTATTCTTTGGAATTTGGGAAATAAATAAAAAAAAAATAAAAAAATAAAACGTGTTGTCTTGAGAGAATAAAATTACACAATCTTAAATCATCATAGTTGTAAAAGTTATTACACCATATAGTAAAAGTAGATAATTGAATGAAGTATATTTGGGGAAAGTTTGAACATCCTACATGTAGCTTTACTAATAAAGATTCTATAAGTGGCATCCTCTGATCACAGGGCTTCAAAATCCAGAATATATTCTTTCTTTTTACTCCCTGCGATAAGCAGTTAGCATTTCCCCGATTAAGAACTCGCAATCTGATTGGCTGTCGCAACACTGCGACAGAAATCATGTATAAGTCATTGCGCATAATGTGATAACGTGATTCAGTTAATCGGGCGCTCCCAAATTGGTTATAGCAGGGGGAAGAAGGAGGTACGGATTCTGTATACCTGTTTAGGAGGATCATAAGTGGGGGGGGGAGAGTTTGTGGGATATGGCATCTGTCAGGTGCATTGTTCTACTTGCATGTAGCAGAAATGACGGCCCTAGAAACTGAATGCATGAATCCTACCAGTATGCGCTAAATGGTCAAGGAGGATTGGCTCCCAGAGTGCAACACCAATATTCTGTCCCATATATTGGCATGTGGTGAACCCCCTGTCAAAAATTCTCAAAAGTTTATTAATTAAATTAGGTAAGATTTAGCCCATCATGAGAAATCATGGCCTTCATATTTCTCGTTGAAGGCAGAAATATGTGATGAGTATCAGAATGGATTTAACCATTTACTGTGGTCATGTAGACCTATGTAGGATAGTAGTCCCATTCAAATCTAAAACAAGGGCGGAATATCAAGGAGCATCAGAATATTAAAACATAGTATTTGCCCATTTAATTTGATTCTTGATAATAGTTTTTTTTCTGAAAAGTTACTAATTCACAATGAAGCAACGATGTATCTTTTAGAATCAATATTTCATAATAAAGTGTATTTTTAGAATTTAAATCTCAAATAAAATAGAATTAGTGTCAGAATGAAATAGATTACATTACAATTTAATAAATGAGAAATGTAGAAACGGTATACTCCTTTATGATTAATGAGTTTTGGCTCATATGGACAAACTAGTGACAAAAATTAATCCCAACTTACATTAAAAGATAATCTTGCAACATAGACTGTGGACTACTCTGATAATTGTAACTTCTTCCTTTTGTGGAAGGGCACACATTCCAACATATTTCAAACAGTGTGTATGATTATGCTGGGCACTTTCTGGGTAGTTGGACTTCATGTAGGGGTGGCAGACGGCCCTCAGGCCAATTTATACCCCACCCCAAGAAAACCTTGGGGGTACTTTAATACCACCTAATAAAAAGAATACTAATGCATGTCATAGTTTTATAGTAGACAGGACATACCATGGTTAGTCAGTGCCAGAAATTTCCAATCACTAACTTATATGGTCACCATGGAAACAGTATTTATATCTCAAAATCCTCTCAATTTGACCTCCTCCCAAATATATCCCTTTGCTCTCAAAGTGAAATATTTGTAAATTTGTTTTTAAACATTAACAAGACAAATTGCCACACAGGTTATCGCAAATAAATGAATAGATAGAATTCAATCACTCATATGTAGTGTATTAGTCCTGTTCGTATCTGTAACAAGAGCAGGGTGTCTAGGACCAAAATTATTTCTTCAGAATATTACAGTAATACTAATTGGCCATTTAATTCAGGTCTGAATAAAGTTTTTTTTCTGAAAAGATAAGAATTCACAATGACGGAACGGAGTATCTTTTGGAATCAATATTCTATTATGAAGTGTATTTTTAAAATTTAAATCTTAAATAAAATAAGATTAGTGTCAGAATGAACTGGATTACATATTACAATTAAAAAAAGAAATGAAGGAACATTAAATAATTTTAGTTGAATAAAGTAAAATATAAGATTTTATAAGCAAAGTCAGTCAGTCAGCCTATGGGATTGACGTCCGTCCGTTGGTCCATCCATCCGTTCATCCGTCCGTCAACATTGGCCGCACAAATTAAAACTGCTATTCGGATTAAGTCATATCCATATTCATTTTATGCATATCCATAATGCCTATTTGACCTATCATCGCCATTTCCCAAGTTCGCCCGGTGTCCGAGAAATTGCTGATTTTGACGTCAAAAAGTCACATTTTCAGATAACTTCCAAATAACTTGTAGTAGTTGCTTTATATGCAACGTATGTCCTCTGAAGATTTCAAAGCTCTTGGAATTACAGTTTTTGGTGTTTACTCCATAAAATTTGACAAAAAGTAGAACATTTTCAGGAAACTTTCTCATGTATAAAGTCAATGGCAGGTTTTGTGATTGACAAGTTTCTCAAAGTTTGCCTTATACTTGATCATTTCTTGCAATGAATTACATTATTACTCGATTTAAGCATTCCCTACATATTGCTCAATATATGTCAGCATCAAATTTTTAGATATTTGACGTTTTTGAGATATTTGACGTAAAAAAAACAGTAAAAATAAGTTATTTTCAATTTGCTTCAATTTGACCAAATTTTCTTTTTGAAATCATTTACAAGTTGCCAGGAGTTCAAATCTGACATTAGTTTTAGGATTTGACCTTTACTTGACCTTCAGTGACCTTCGAAAGGTAAAAAAAAGTTGATTTTTCAAATTGATTTTTGGATGTAAATTTTGGTCAGCTTAATCACAAAAGACCTAACTGAGCTCTGACTAAGTAAAAGTTTCAAGGCCAAAGGTCATGAAACTAGGTCACACAACTGTGCTATCTAAGTTTCTCAAAGTTCGAGACTACAAATCCACATCAATATTTTTGTTTGAAAGTCAGGATATACATTCCTCTGAAGGTTCCAAACTGTGTGAGCACAGGACCGTGGGTCCTTTCATTTTAATACTGAATGTGTTATTTCAACTCTATCTGCTATTACATGTTAAAGGTTATTGTTTCGGAAATATTTTGAAGTTATGAAATACTGGTATATGTTTAGGTTCAGTTATAGCAGGTCATCATAGATTAAAAATACTACCTTTTGAAGTAAGAGTAAAATATAAGCTTACATTCGCGAACTAACAGCTAGAGACTACCGGATTAACTTACTATTTTTGACCAATTCATTTAAATATGAATGGAATAGTGGCAGGTACTATTCATATTTAAATGAGTTGTCCATAAAATGGTAGGTTAATCTGGTAGCTGACGGTGTTAATTGCATTCGCGAATACAAGCTAAGACTGATATCATAGTGTATTATATTGCACAAATTATCAAATTGAGTTAATGTAAAAAAGGAATTAAAATTTATTTGTTAATTAGTAAGCTAATTAATATGCATAAAAACAGTTGTTATACACTTCTTTTACCCCTATACTCATAATTGAAATACTAGAGTCCATTTCACTGCTTCATTTCGTCAGTAGAACGGCAAAAATAAGAAATTGGGAGACCATTGTGCAATAATATATGGAAAAGTATATTCATAATGTACATGAATGACATTTGTATATTTCAGATTTTTTAGTTTTTTGTGCAATAAGCCTGTGCCGTCTTGTAATTTGAAGAATTTCAGCCATGTTAATCTTATTGAAAATAACATGGCAGAGAAACATCCAAATATAAGAGTCCACACACTTTATAAGCCAAACTAGAAGCAATCAAAGATATACAAATGTCATTCATGTACATTATGAATATACTTTTCCATATATTATTGCACAATGGTCTCCCAATTTCTTATTTTTGCCGTTCTACTGACGAAATGAAGCAGTGAAATGGACTCTAGATGGTATTTATTCTACTCTAATTTAGGGTTATGTCATTCAAGTGAAATTAACTCCACTTGAAACACATTTATATTCTTAACTTTACAATGATACCAAATCTCTGTTCTACCAAGGGTGAACCCGTTATAAAAATCAGACAATCGCTACTGAACTTAGTTTACATTGTTCCGGTAGTGTTGATTTAATGACTTAATTTGCATAATTACTGTATTTTTTCAGAGAGAGAATGTTCTCAGGTAGATATGTATATTGCAAGTCAAAAATTAAACAAAAATAACTGATAAGGGATATTTAACTCCATTTAAATACATGAATACTACGAAATGTGCCACGCCCCCTTTCAGAAATATTACATAATTTTAAAAAGACAATAGAAAAAACGCTCAACCTACCACAACTGCATATTTGTGGCTTTTTGACCAGGACATGTCTAACTAACAAAAAATGTAATAAAACTTTGTATATACTCCAAAACAAGGTTCAGTGATAAATCCTTTCATCTAGACCTAATACATTTCTTTTGCAATATTATTGTGTCACCACCAGAAATGAAGATATATTGTACTGTTATAGTTTCAAACTTTTTTTGTAGACCGTATTTGGCGGTTGTTGTCTTTTACAAATGGCAGGTGGTGGCATCTTGCATAGTAATGCCTTGCACAAATTTATGACCACTACATTTATTCATTATTAATGGCAAAACCTATGTAATGATACAGTCTTTGACAATCCTCTCATTTTCATCAATTTACAGCAATATAATTATGGGCTTGTTAACCTATGTACATTTTCATTTCACTGTAAATATTATTTCTTTATTTTTCTATGTTCCAGGAAGTGATCTGTTCCTAGAACCAGCCGTGCATAGTTACTTGAAGGCATTACTACATGAGTATTGCAAGCCTCGTGTACTCTCTCATACTGACTTCACTCAGCCTATACCAGGACTCAATGCTTTCTCAGACCTGTAAGTTTTTCTTTCCATTTTGATTTGCTTCGACATTTTGTCTTGTTACTTTACACACTGACTGTGAATCAATAGAAAATTGAAATGCAATCTCAAATATTATGTGAAGATCTGTTTTAGAATGTTAAGCAACCAAAATGCAGGGACTAATATTTGCTACACAATCAGTTGCACTTTTGTATTGCATCCACTCAATTAACATTTTGACTTCTAATTCCAGGTATCTTTCAATGCTAGCCCAGTATGAAGCTGTATCATTTGGTGATCCATTGTTCACATGTTATATTCTGCTGCCTCTACAACAGAGGCACAGTGCACAGCTCAGGAAGGACCTGTGGGGCCAGCATCTAGGGGCAATCAGATCTATGCATGTTTCTATACACGAGGTAATGCTAAAGAAACTTATATTTACTTTTAATTTATTTAATGTTGAAAAAAGCTGACAATTAGAATTCCAATTATAACTTATGTAAATGGGTTCCATGTTTTTCAGCTTCCTGTACCAATTGAAAATTACATAATGCCTGAAGAAACAGACATTGAGCTTTTACGCCTCTATGTTCAAGCTCTATTGAGTGAAATGGTGAGAATAACATGGGCCCCAGTGCTGTACCTTGTGGCACTCCATCATGTGAACAGATTCATGTACACTCAGGATGGAAAATATAAACAACTAAAAAAGATTATCATGCGACAAGTGATTCAGTTAAAAAATAAGGTAAGTGATTTTTAGTGTGCAGATTTTTCTTACCAGGATCTTATTTATTCAGTTTTTGATATTGCTTCATTTTTCATTTGATTACTTTCATTGGAAATCCTCACTGGAACAACTATACAATTTTCTTTAAATGATTTAAAAAAATGCTGAACGGCATGACGCAAACAGGCATTTATGTGTACAGGTAAGTAAATCAAACTATAATATAGATGTCATGTGAGTATGAGATCATTACAATCGTTCAAATCAAATTCTAATTTATAAATATAAATATACAAATGATTGTACATGTTGTTTGAAAAGGTTCTTCGTTTTTGTATCTTCTCAACATTGATATTGTTTTGAGAATTCTGTCAAATCAGTTTTTGCTTCTATTTCCAGGACCTGAAACACCATCTATTGATGTATAAATGTGTTAATAGAGACTCTCCCCACGCTCTAGATTTATATAAAGAGCTGCCTCGTATTAGATCACATATACTCAACTCCATAACAGCTGGACTAGAGCTGGACAATAGTACCAAGTGATGGAAGAAGTGTGTTGAATAAATAGTAACAAGTAACAAACAGTATACAGTGGTATATGGTATGGTATATACAGGAAGGAAACTGCCACGAAGAACAGAGGGCACATGACATTACACTTTTATATTTTAATATGCAAGTTTTAAACGTGTAACATACAATGTATTCTTGCCTTCTTAGACTCCACAGTGGCACATACATGAATTATTTTTATATGAATTTCATGAATAAAGTGCCCAATAAAATCTGTAACTGAATGTATACTTATGTAACAGCCATCATCATGGCTAATGCTATCACACAAGTCATTTCATCACTGATTGTATCGTGTACATGACGCAACTGTTCTGGTGGTGTGAGAAATGCAATAGATTCTGCAATATCATAGATTATTGAATAGCTTGATTAAACCCGTGTTCAGTTTAAAGGTTTAAAATGAAAATGATTTTGCATAATTGATTTATTTGTAAGAAAATGCAAAAGTCTGTTTCGGATGTATGCGATTTCTTCAACGATGGTGGAATTTTCTGCGGAGTTTTCTCGAAATTATGGCTCCCTGGCTTTGTATATTTCCGTAGACTATAGTTCAGTCATGTGTGATTGAATTGCTAGTAATGGGTTTAGGAAAAGAATTCATAACGCCAGCGTTCATTTAATATGTCCATTATTATGTGCTTTCAATTCCTTTTAACTACCGATACATTTGTCGATCAAATCAAGTCTGTCAAAATTACATGTTGTGAAAATACCTTGCAAATAGACACATTCCATTTTATAGTCGCCTTGTAAGCATTCAACGGGAGTTACATCGGGAACATTGGACCAGTCGATGCCAATATTGGAGAACATTTCTCTTTGGTCACTTGTACAATTGAATCCTTCAACCAAACATGGGCTTGAACAACGAAAGTCTGTTGCTACAAACCGTTTAATGTTGTCTGACCTGCCCCGCTGCTTGTATTCTAACATACAACACAAGTTATGATCCTGTTTTAGAGTAATGGAGCGATTATTTGAACAGTCTTCCACTACTGCAATCTCTGGACAGGCGTCTTGCAGTTGTTCTCGGAGTCGTTTCAATTGACGTCCGACGTCATCGCCGCTCTTCTTTAATTCTTTTATTTGTTGTCTTATATGTCGCTCTCTTTCACATGAAATACTTACATTGAGTGGATTGTTGTTGAAAGGGCTTCTTGCTCGGCCAGTTGTAACGAAAGAGGACCATAGATATAACAAAATGACAACGTTGAGCATACGTCCCTTGATTGTGATCATTCTGAAAGTTTTCGAAAAAAAAGCACTTTAGCTAGTGTAAAAAGAATAGAACACAATTAAGAAAATAGAACACCAAAAAACAGTCAATCGGTTACAAATTTACAACCCCCGCCCAATCCGAAATTAGACTTTCCCCGAAGTAGTAGTATGTTGCCCGTTTTCCCCAATTCCAATGTTATTAGGCTAACGCAACCCATAAACCAATGCACTGCGTCTACCTTGCAATTTCTCCGATTTATTTGGTGTCGTCGTGAACAGCAACAAATTACACTTCCGAAATGCAGGCTCGGATACAAGAGTAACGATCTTCAAATTAGATCCGATATATAAAGAGTCTTTGTTAGCAATTTCAATATTCTTACGTTTGTCCTTTTTTCAAATATATTCGATTATATGGTTATGTATACCAGGTCTTTATAAGATGAAACCTACCTACTATTTATATTCATGTATGTAAGATGGAATGATATTTATGCAACGTTGGCTAAAGTGAACGATACATATCAGCGCTATTCTCGGTGTTCATAAGCAAAACATAGAAAATAAAGGATTGAAAAAGTATTTTCAAAACATCCTAAAAGGTTATAACGATTAGATGAATTCTACCATTTGTATCAAGACATGTTTTCAACAACATTTTAGGGATTTTATTTTGATTTACAAAATTTAATATGCCGCTATCACCCACGTTCAGTTGGATAAATTTAATTTGCGCTAACCTTTTTAATCAGACATTCATTTCAATAATACTTTCGCGAGATATCCACCATTCAGTTCTGCCATTAACATTGTTCTCCAAATACAAAAATAAATCCCACGGTATATTTTCATGAGAATGGTTAAAATACCCTCAACTCGAGATCCACGTGACCATGAGAGCAAATTAACAACTTCATAATCATATTTGAAGGAACAATTTTACCTCGATTTTAGTGATATCTCAAATATAAGTACCAGGACCACGTTTTATAACGTCTGTCAAAGTGACACATAGGTTAGGGTGCTCAGAGACTACAGGTATATCCAAATAAAAGTACAAGATTGAGGCCATAACGTATAGCACATGTATTTCTAATAATCTGGTTTGCAAAATACAAACCTGAACGTGTTAAAACCTCATTCGATAGAATTCCATTTTTTTAATTATTTTTCTTCAACATCAATACAGGAAACCCCCCTATGACTCTCGATACAAAAACTCGCCTAGATTTTCAAAATAGCCGCCATTTTTTGTCCAGCAAAATTGACTTTTGGACCTTATAGCGGCTTTATAGTTTAAAAACTGCTCTCGATAGGATTGCAGTATAGATTACTTTTGTCCAACATCAATACAGAAAACCCCCATATGCACGGTGCCCATGTCAAGCTGCGCGCCTACTTAGGCGCGCAGTTTGTTTCGATCACAAACTGCGTGCCTAAGAACACTGCATCATTTAAGTTGGAGTCTGTATTTTGAAACGTAATTTAAAGACATTTATCCTGCATTGTTTTATTGTTCAATGCGTTCATTCTGTGGCGAATATACGAATCTTGCAAATACTAGCAAAAACTATGTGCAAATGAATCTAAGTTTTAAAACATAAGCAGATTAATGGCATTTTCGTCACTGATTTAACGGGAATTTATACGTAAATCGATCTAGCACTTTAAACATAAATGACAAATACTTTAGACTCGTTTTATATTTAATTCCTTACACATTTATCATGTATAATTCAAAATATTTCGAGATAAAACAGATAATCAGGAGATTAAAAAGAAATAAATCACAAACTGCGCGCCTATTTTAGCCAGAAATTACAAACTGTGCGCATACACTATTAAAACTACATATTATCATTGGAATTTCTACAGAGCCACGTGTAGGTGTTTTTCATGTAGCTTTGGAAATTTTGCTTTATCGACAGATTTTATGAGATTTTCATATTGAAAGTCAAAATGTATAATAGAAGTGACAATTAAGTTTGGAACGAAAAAAACTTTTATTTCCAGATCACCATCTTGGTGGATGGACTCTCATAGTGTTTCAATTATGGGGTTCTACTATTAAACACATATGTGCCTTGTATGGCGCTTATGTTTTCTAATAATACAAAACAAGCTTGGATAGGCAAGCAGTTTGGGAAATACATGTGAATATAGGCGCGCAGTTTGACAAGAAAAATGTTTAAATCACGTTTATGGCGTATTATCGTTTTGAACACAAACTTTGCTGATTTAATCAGATGGAGTGATCCTATATATTCTAGCATACACAGACACAATGGCTGAATAAACGGCAAATGACGATAAAAAGACATATATATAACTTTACACTGTAAATTTTGAACACAGAAGTTACTTAAGACCCTTATATTGAGATAACTAGGTTTACATCGGGAAAAACATTGAGTACTATGAGTAAATTAAGTTCATCTTCACAGAATGGTACTATCTTTAGAACGAGACTAACCTTGTATTTTTCGTATTTTGGCTCTTTTTGGGAGTCGTGTCCTCCCCGTCTCACATTTTGAAATATGCGCGCAGTTTGTCAGAGTTTCAAACTGCGTGCCTAGTAGGCACGCTGCTTGACATGGGCATCGTGATATGACTCCTGATTCAAAAGCTCGCCTATTTTAAAAATGGCTCGCCTACTTTAAAATGGTCGCCATTTTTGTTTCACAAAATTCACGCTTGGATCATTTAGCAGTTCAAGTTTTAAAACCTCTGTCGATAGGATTTTCGTTTTAAAATATTTTTGTTTAACATCAATACAGAAAACTCCCCTATGACTCCTGATTCAAAATCTCGCCTACCTTTAAAATGGTTTCTTTTTTGTCTTGCAAATTCACTTTTAGACAATTTACGAGCTTTGTAACTTATTTCCTGCATTGTAAAAACCAATGTCACTGTTATCACTTCTTTAATGAAATAATTTTTGAACAAAAATCAACCGAATTCTTTCAAAAAAATCAAAATGGCCATTTATGCAATTTTGCCTCAAAGAAATTCACTTTTTGCTCTACACGATGTGAGCCCAGTACCCAAGGTACACTTTTTGTAGGTAAGCATGTTATCTTGGCATATTTAGAAGTATTAATTGATTTTTATTATAATAACAAGGTACATGTATGATGGATGGTAGTTATCACTTTTAATTTAATTAGTTTTATCGATTAATTAGAGGACGAGATAAGCCATGGTTTATAGTTGAACTCATAATTAATTACCTTTGCGCACCACCATTGTTCATTGTTTGTCACAAAATTTCCACCAAGTGTTATCTGAATGCCATTGTATGTCATAAAATTTCCACCAAATGTTATCTGAATGCCATTGTTTGTCATAAAATTTCCACCATATGTCACCTGAATACCACACGTCAATGTGTGTTTTAATCAAAATTATTGTAAACAAATTCCTTATAATTAATGCAGCTTATATGAAGTATCAATCAAGTTGTAACATTACGTAATACCTAAGGAAAAAACATTTCATAATTTCAAGCTTTTTAACTTAGTTTTATACTTTTTGTTCATGATGTCACTTTTAAAAGTCCGACATAATTTTTTTTATAAAACTTTTGGTTTCAGGGCTGTAAAAATTGTTTTCCAGTTTCAATGTTTTAGATACGATTTTAAATTCGTGTTGTTATATTCAGTAATACATTTTCAATTAGTATTTTCATTGAGCGAACCCGTGTGTGCCAATAAATTAACTCCATTGAATCTTTATTTTTAAGTTTTTGATGTGATCTTTGAATTTCAATTGGCATCAGTAACTTTTCCGATGAAAGATAAAGTGCCTTGTTGCTTGAGTTTGGTGTCGATCATTGTTTGATCATTGTACAACAATAGTGTCATCTTGTTAGTGAAACCAAGTGCCAACATTACGTTGTAAGCATATATGGTATCTCATACTTGAGTGGGTTTTGGGTAGATATCACCCGGGAATATATATCATATCTGAGGAGTGGGCAGGATAATATATTGTATATGCCTCACCCCAGGCCAAATGCGGACAGATATAATATGTCCATCCCACTCAGAAAATATATATATTCACTGCGACCAGTCGCAGGGACATCGCAGACTGCGATTTGTTAATGAATGGGTCGCAGACACTGCGACGTCGCACGATGGTCGAAATGACTACGGCGTCAGAGTCACTGTGATAGGTTGATGAATGACCCCTTTACTTTACCTTTACTTGGGCAGTGAGAAGTACCAGTTACGAAAGGACAAACGATATTATAATTGAGATAGAGTAAGTTCAAGTATTGATTAAGATTGACAAATACATGTAATATTCATTTATTGGGTCTATTTTGAGACGATGGAATTCCACAACTCTGACTCATTTTCACTAAAATATAACCATAGGCGTTTGCTTAGCTCTGCCAATCGCAAAAAAGTTGTAGAAGGTATCAATGTAAAGGACGCTTTTATGAAATCTTAAATTGAACGACATTCGTGGTTCGGATTCAAATCAGATTCGGTTAAAAAAGAATAAACACTTAACATAATACGTCAAAATGGGCGGGCCACCTGCCCAGCAACCTCAAAATATTTTCAAGGCTGGAGCGCCTAGAACTGGAAAGAACCAAAAGAAGTCGCAAAGTAAAGATGGTAGATATATTCTTACTTTTTAGGTCATTGTATTTCCATATTTTAAATCGATTATTGTTGAATTTTTGCCAAGGTAGTTATAATACATTTTCATGTTTTCAAAAAGTTTTGTTACCAAAATCTGATGACAATTTCATCAAAGTGCTGAGTTCAAAATAAAAATTATTTATGATTAAGTATATTTTTAATTAAAAAATCATTACATGTTTCAAAACTGAACGATAGTTTTCAATTTTTATGCTTATTTGATATCATTTTAGAAAAATAAAATTTAGAGTTACGTGCTAGCGAGACAACCCAAGCTTCAAATACCACATTGGAAAGTATGAGACACCAGCCTTACGAATCTATGATATTTTAGTTGTATCTTTTTGATTTTTGATCAATTCTAATAAATTCTAAATACGTTTTGAAATGCTATTTTAGTTTTGAGAAGTGAATTGAGATCTATTGAGGTTATCTGTATTTATCTTTCATCATCTTACCTTTATAAACAAACAAACAAATCAGCTATTCCCTGGGTTTTTTCAGCTAAAGAATTTCAAAAATTGGAGCGGAAACTGAACCAATGTCCCGCTTTTCTTGCCGCTTACTTGGATCGACATCCCGAGGCCCTTAGGAAGTACCTTTCCTCGAGGGAGAATATCCCGGAAGAAAATCTTGGAGAGGATGTACAAAGTTAGTATTATAAACTTAGTCATTTCTATGAAATTGATGATGCGGGCCTTATATTTCACTAAGGATAACTCAAGAATTGAGATTTTTTTCAAGAGATGTATGACACAATAGTATGTGCAGGGCATTCAATAAGAACTGATAAAAACTTTTTAGTTTTTTTCATATTTCTGGTTACCCTCTCTACTGTGCATTGTTTAGTAACATACTGATGCACTGTGGCAGTTGCAGTAATGTGCTCCTATGGGAAGGTGGTGATGGGTTGAGTCAAATGTGGTTCTTGATGTATCAGGTTTACACGAAAAAAGTTTCAAAATGGGCAAGCTAATGTTAATATCGCTTCTCAGCTTTGGCATCAACTTGTCACACATCAATGTTATTTCTAAATCATGAAAAAACATTGTGTATGTGGCCAACACTTGAATAAGTCATGTAGTGTAATTTGTCATATAGGAATATTTCAGGTTTCATCCAATATTTCTTTTATTGCATCAATCTGACTAGAGGGAGCTAAAGCTTTTGGTCGCCCCTGTCTGGGCTTATTTTCAATTGACTTTCTCCATCGGTGACAATGATATATGCCAGGGGTAGATATAGTGTCCTTCCCATTAGTTTCGTCCTTTATTGTATCCTGTTTTGATTTATCTTAGAGAACTTGATGCTGCTTCTAATTTGATGCTGAATATAATTGATTTTCTGTTCAGCAGCCATGTTGTTGTTTACATAATTTATGCTAAGTTCGTGTTATGTAGTTTCTCTCTGATATCATCTGATTTTAAATCGCTCTTTGGTCACATCGGAATACCCTGACAATGGCAAAATTAGATACCGTTGTCACAAATGGCGGACATAACTGTCGCTTCAACTCTTTAATCACTTGGTCCTCGTTTCATGGAACTTTATCGTCGCTAATTCTGTGCATGTATTAAGCTTTTGTAATGGTGTTTTATATGAAATCCCAATTTCTATCAAATGGGGTTGTGAGTCGCCAATGACAAAGACAAAAAAATATACAAAGGCAATGGCATATGGTAAGATGTGACAACGACTATGGTGGATGTAAGCATTGGAACATAGGAAAATGACAACGGTAAATAGACATTTTGCCGTTGTCTTTATATGTACCGTTGTCGAATCTTACTATTGTCATCCCGATTTTACATCAATTGAATTCTTATGAATTGCTCCTGATGTCATTTATACATTAACGTTTACCGGTTTATCGGTATTTATTTACCAACTGTCAAAATGGGTTCAAAGAGAAAATTATATATGAAAATGTTCACATTTTAAGTCTGGCATTTTGATTTTTTCGTGTAGACCTAAAGCACCACGCACGACCTTAGGCCCCGCCCAGTACTCTTCCTGTTAGAGAAAATTCTTTTAATTCTCACAGTACACCAGTCCAATACTCAACAATATACAATAGAAAAATAGTCATAAATATAAAAATTAAAAAGTTCCAGCATTCTTATCCGTACGTATTCAGCTTTTTGCTGAAAAGGGAATGACCTTGTTTTTTGACACTTGTATGAGTCGACTAAATAAAAATTAAGGTGTGCTCAAGTCATTCAAATGAGATAATACAACATTCATGATATTCCAATTTAATGGCTTCACTTTCACTTTGAAGGAGCTTTGTAAAAAATGCAAAACTGAATCTAAATAAAACGTTTATACTCGTTCTTGAAATGTCATATATAGTATCAATTTTCTATTTTTCTGAGACAGATTCTAGTGTTCAGTATTTTAATTGAATATAAGCCTAAGTGGGACTTATTTCGCCTAACACACACCCCTTCGTTAGGGGGGAGGGTATTGAAAAGATCGCTATGGAAATTTTTAAGATAAAATACTTTTCAGCCCAGACTTGTTTAAAACATGACCGAATGTGATAATAAAAGGATACTCTTGTAAAGTGCAATATTATAGCCTACATACGTACATGATATGTTATTATGTTTATCAATTTGTATTACTTTGAATTTAGGTGACGGCAATGGATCCATTAATTATATAGTCCTCAACATAGGCAACAGTACGCATACCGACCAAAGTCGCCACGATTCACCATCGCATGTCAGCACGATTAAGGCAAATGGAGCGAACAACATTCAGGTCGGATCCGGAAATAGTATCGTTGTACCGCAACAGATAGGTCTTAATCCAAGCTTTAATGATGAGCAGGAACATGAAGATGCGGATCACGTTGACGACGACGACGCATACATCTTGCTGGAGAAGCCCCCGTCCCAAAACATCCTTGACCGCATGAAAACCATTTTGAAGTGGGGTAAATCCAATAATGTTCCAGCCAATAAACGTTGTGCATCTGCCGGTGATGTTTCCGCACGCATAGTACAACCAACGACAAGAAACAAGACGAGCACACAGAGTTTGCCTCCTGGGATGGAATCGTTGGATCTAATTTCATTTGACGAACCACCACCACCACCACCGCCGCGCCTCAACAGAACCTTTCACGACTGCAGTCAAGACAAAGATGCGTCACAATTTCGAGACATTTCAAGTCGATATCCAACCCACCACGGTTCGACACAGTCTCTACCGGTGAACGCAACACAGGCTGCAAACAGTATTTGGGGATTTAAAGATGAGTTCATGGTAGGTACACCTCATTAAGACTCATAATATTTCAACGTAATTTCTGAAACGTATTAATCCAAGCACCCTATTCAACCCCGTGATAAAACGAATTCTGCAATATCTTATATTTAGACAAAGCTCTCTTTTAAGAAGTGTAGCAACAAATACAAATAAAGAGTATATACTTGTAAAAGCCTTGAAATCCTTTCTGGGCTTTGCTGAAATATATACAAAGTTCTAAGTTTTTTTCCACAGGAGATGCTGAATAATGTTGCAGTTGTTTTAGAAATTCGAATTATCAAATTCAATATTTCTATTTATTTTCGTCTCAGATTTGATAGACATAGTTTCCCCCTGATGACCATTGTGTTTCATGGATTACGGACTTTGCAAATGGATGTTGACCCTTTGAATTACCTTGTCTATCCCACATCACTTGAGACTGAATGCTTTATTTTTTATGAGTACTAGTCTCTACAACGATTTTTGATGTCATGTGTATTGTCAACATCCCGAGGCCTTAACATGTGTATAGTTATTACTTCGGTATGAATGAAATGTTCCTTGCTTCTGCAGCTTGTCCTGGGATTGGAGGGGAAGTGGGTGTTCGACATTATTTTTTCACGTAAAATCATACTTTTGGGGTATATATAGTACTTAGGGTCTATTTTTCTTATGACAGGTTTACAGAGTTTCTATGCTAAGTTTTTTAAGAGTTTTTGGTCCTCTCTCTCTTTGTCACCTGTGCTTAGATATTCAATTCAAAATTAAAACTATGATCATTCAAATGTAATCTTTTATTTACTTTAGGGAGCGTGTGCGACTCCATACGAAAATGGACTCCGCAAGCGTGCTTCGAATACAGTTGCAAATCAACAGTCGACGGGTTACCACGTGACTAGCTGTGGTCGCTTCATTAGTTCTCCTGATGTATCTTTGCCAGATGAGTCAAGCAGGGCGTCCCGCTGCAGGCGTCCAATTGCACAAGGTGCCCAAAGGCATTTTCCTGTTCAAGAAACGGCTATCTAAACTACGAATTGGCATTGGCACATGATCAGGGAGTGAGTTTCTTTACACGAGGCAGTTGGGGCACATCCGGGGCAACGTTATTTATAAAATACATGATTATAGAATATTAACTTAATTGCACTCTCCAGAATGTTGTTTAACATATTCCCAAATTTTTCATTCTTACTGAAAACTATCACTTGACAAACGCTGAAGGAAACTTGACTTTTGATAGACTCTACACACTAAGAAGAATTTAATGACCGGAAACGACTTGTATTTCACTTCAAGAATTTCAAACTTCAGTATTAAAATTGCACAAAAGGAAACAAAACTAAACATGAAAATGATCGACTGACAACACACGCTCTGAAGGTAAGATTGATGATGAAATACTTCAGTTTAGTAAGTAAGTCAGCAAAGCATAGATTATACTTGCATCTATGAACTTTGGGAAATTTCTTTCTCCAGAAGGAATTCATGAACATACGATTGGTAGGCAGGGTTTCACATCTAGAGAGTGAGTTAGGGCAAAGGGGAGACATAGGGAAACGGTATTATAATTATCCCTATCTTTTCAAAAGTTTAAAGGGGAAAGCATTTGACTTTTTTTTATTTCATTTCAGTTTTTAGGTTTTTCATAACTTTCAAGGAGTGGAATCCTGCCGATCAATACACTTCATGCAAAGTCTATTCGGTAGCACGATTTTGTGAAACTTTAATTCCTGTCTTCTCTTACACCTTCGAAACTCGTTCAATATCACAAAAACGCGCGTAACAAGGGCGATTTTCGATCGTGTAACAACAAAACTTCTTGAAACTAAGCCATATTGTAGAAAATGTAATGAACAGATTGACGTTTCATCAGTTTTGTTGCGTGGTGACCTCTCTTGTAGCGGAACAGAGTGATTGCTGTAAAATAGCTTAAACGTTATATTGACAAAAACGTTGATCGTTTACCTTTTTTCGCCAAACCAATACATTCTTAGTGCCAAGATATTGAAAGCACAATACAGTAATCAGCTTGTTGTCCCTTATCAGCTTTAACTATTTCGAGGTCAACAGCTTATCAAGCTCTTATGACCAAAATAAAACGAAAGTATTCATTAATCATCGTTCATCATTATAATTATGTAGTGTCCGATCAGGAATTTGAACTTTTGATAATTTTAAATATGTCATACTGTTATCGGTAAAACCACAAATCAAATAGGTCAGCATGTTTTCGGTGCACCTACCATAAAGTAGCAAAAACAGCTTTTTGAAACTCGAATCTTCACTAAAACGGCTGAAAACTGTCATCATGATAAACCATGACATTTTATTTCTTCTCAGCCCTGAAACAGAAATATGCTATGAGTATCAGAATGGAAAACTGTACTAAATTTCAAATACATGTGATAAACGTCGGCTTTTATGGCATATCAGTCCATGCTTCATCAAATGCGCAGTCGCTCAATTATTGTCAGGTACTTTCAAATATTTGAAGAAATCTACTTTTGCATGTCCACACGCACCACCTCCCATTTTGATTACTGACATATATCATCATGTATCATCATGGTAAGTTAATAAATTATGCTAATCGTTTAGTTAACTTTAATATGTAGGTGATGCTACTTTTTGAGACTGAAACGAAATCATTTTAGTTAAACAAAGATTTTTTCGTCAACTCTTACCATTGATTTGCTAAAATGAGTTTTTGTACAAGAAAAGGGTTTTTAAAAAACAACAAATTAAGCATTGCACTGTTCAAACTCAGATGGAACCGTAGTCACGCAGTGAGAATGGCCCCCGTTCTTCCATAATTTCAAAATAGCTAAATTTTCAAAAGGCATTTTCTCCCAATTCCTCCATGTATTCTCATGTTATACTTTTGTTTATTTTTTCTTTGATGACGACAGTGTCGAATCAGTTATGGATAAACTATGAGTATTGGGTTTTATGAGAAATAATGGCCGAGGGCCGTGGCCCGAGTCTATTAGTTCTCATAAGACTGAGTACGAATGGTTTATCTAACTGAAACCCCACACTGACTCTTATGAAATGTAAATTGCCCATGATCCAATGTTAGGAAAATTTGATTTATTTTGTATTGACTTTGAGGCAAGCCTGTTGAGGAGTGGTTGTAATTACTTCAGATTCAGTGCATTGCGTGTAACAGGTCAGGTGCAGTTTAAAATTTGATATCGTTTGTGTTTACTATTAATGAATAGGGTGTAATTCGCCTTAGTGCACTGCATGTGACAGTCAATCGTCTTTTGTGCAACACTGGTTTTGGATGGCTTACTAAGTGTCAATTCTTTAAAAACAATGGAAAAGAATGCACCTTTCTTTGTTATAATTGTATATTCTTTAAAATCGACCACAGTTCATTCTATTGTACTGCTACTTAAGTGGGGTTTAACTTTATAATAACAATTTTAGTAATCAACAGATTTCCATTGAAAAATATGTTGGAGCTGACGTGCAAAAAATTCTCTGACGTAAGTGAATTGCCGTTAAATTAGTAGATAAGAACGTAAGAACAAATGTTATTACCCGTCTAGCTCAGTTAATATCTCTAAGAAGACACCAGTTGAGCTAATCTTGATCTTTAGACACTCTTTCGATCTGGACAGGTAGCAATATTCATTGGTTTTGCATTCTTAGCACTTTGTTTAATCTCCTCGGGACTATCCTGGCATTCGTTTATAATTTAATTCATTTCGACAACTAAATATGTAACTTATCCATTATGTGCTCGCGTATCTCCAAGAAGCTATTCGAATTGCATGTGCAGTTTCTCCTCGGTCTCTTCCTGGAATTTTTCATTATTAATTCAGGTTATATATTTCGACATCTGATTTGATAATTTATCCATGATGTGCTCGAGGATCTCCAAGAAGCTATTCGAATTGCATGTGCAGAGTCTCCTCGGTCTTATCCTGGAATTTTCTATCGTTAATTCAGATTATAAATTTCGACACCTGAATTAATAATTTATCCATGATGTGCTCGAGGATTTCCAAGAAGCTATTCGAATTGCATGTGCAGAGTCTCCTCGGTCCTATCCTGGAATTTTCTATTATTAATTCAGATTATATATTTCGACACCTGAATTAATAATTCATCCATGATGTGCTCGAGGATTTCCAAGAAGCTATTCGAAGTACATGTGCAGAGTCTCCTCGGTCCTATCCTGGAATTTTCTATTATTAATTCAGATTATATATTTCGACACCTGAATTAATAATTTATCCATGATGTGCTCGAGGATCTCCAAGAAGCTATTCGAATTGCATGTGCAGAGTCTCCTCGGTCTTATCCTGGAATTTTCTATTATTAATTCAGATTATATTTCGACAACTGAATTTATAATTCATCCATGATGTGCTCGAGGATCTCAAAGAAGCTATGCGAAGTGCATGCTCATCATAGACCCATCTCACTTGTAAAAACTGTGAAACTTTTGACAAGGGAAATAGATCTACATGGTGCACGCTAAAAATGCTCAATTAAAATATCAGTGGTGTTTTATATTACGGATATCTATTTTAGTAAATACAATCAGATCAAATGGCTCGAACTAGTAGTTAATCCTGACTGTAGATGTCAGTCAAGATTTTATTTTATGGACTGTTGCAGAAACTGTTAAAATCGACGCCGCATTTTGCCATCGTAAGAACGAATGTTATTACCTGTCGAGCTCGAAAGAGCGTCCAAAACTCAGTAATCGCTGAGAAGATCAATTGGTGTTGTTACAAATCTACTTCTAATAATCTAAGCTTTAATCCAAGTTACGCTTCAGTGGTAACCAACGACTTTGCTATAGGACCATTCATAAGTTATTCTCTCATATCATTCACTTCGATGCGATTGTATATTTTCTTGACATGTATCTCCAATTCGCGGATGACAGAGAAAGGTTTTTGTTTGTCAATGGACATAATTGTCGATCACTAGAATTGCTTTCATGAACTGGTACATGTTAATCAAATAATAATATTTCTATTGCAGCCACCATATAACAAGAGGGTACATAAAAATCGAAAATGAAATGACTCTTGAATTTATGTTGTCAATTTGAAATGACGGAAGTTCAATAGTCATTTCCATTACATGTGGGTCCGTTTTTATCTGAGCTTGTACAGTGTAATGGGTTTTATGGTAACGTAGACTTCTAAAAGTACCGTATCAACATAGACTCAACAAAGCAACGATAAGACTAAAAATTTGGTGTTCCACTAAAATTGCGTTTTGATCTCCAAAAGTAGCTCCGTGCCATGAGAAAGTAAATTTAAGGCAACCGACACCATGTTTATATTAAAGATATAATATGCATATATATATTTCAGTGATTTTCAAGTCAGGGCCTGGTCTATGCTGGCCTATACTTATTTGGACGACATAAAATAGCTTTCATAAAATATTTCAATGTACGGTCATGTGACCCGAAATACGGGTGCCATATTTCTAGCTTATGAATAAGTCCTAAATAAAGTCACTGCGCATCTAATGAATTAGGTTTAACCCGTATCATTCATTGGTTTTGTCGTTTCAGTAAAAATAATTTTCAGATGTAGGATGCCCGAACTAGTATGGTTAGCTGAAATAATTCCATCGCACGAACCGAGAAGTTTTGATGCAATATCAGTGAATCGATTTGAGTTTCTTGACGTGAAAAAGACGGACGACCACATCAAGAGTCAGTTTTAATTCAGATCACTTATTTCAAATACTAATCATGATAAACATTCTACTCGAATGCCCATCATATTCACTGGTACTTCCAGACCTCATGATAACGTGATGTCTAGTGATCTTCATGATCACGTAATCACGTTATCGCGTGGTTCACGACTTAAAAAAGAACATGCCATACACATTCAGTTATAAGTATAACATCTTATAAAACGCTTATCAAACAATACCGTTGCCCTAAGCTGTCCCCAGCGTGTTTTCACACCATTTTTCTTTGAAAACAGAAATAATTGGAACTAAAACTTAAATAGTGTGGTCAGATGACGATTTCAGTCCATTAAACATTTATTTCAATTATATTGCAGTAAAAAAAGTTACGTAGGTCGCTGACATGTTAGCGTTTAGGAATGAACATAGACCAAATTGATTAAATTAATTGAGTGGGTTATACATACAAATGTGCTAACCGGTTGCCTACGTTTAATGGTGAAAAGTAAATCAGAATAAAATGGGTTAGGTTAAGCTAAGAATAAAATCAACGAACCTTTCTTTTAATTGAGAATCCTGTTCAGTTGAAA